TTCCGACGCATGAGATGAGGGAGGGACACTAGGAGGGGAAGCACGCCGGATGGAGGGGAGCAGAGAGGGGGAGGCAAAGAAAGTGCTGGGGAGTTTTGCTGAACAGAGTTGTCACAGAAACTGCCTGTCATCGTGACTTGCTTTGTGGCTGAGAGCATCCCCATCGTTCTTCGCCCTGCGCATCCTCTCTTCCAGCCAGTCACAAGCTTCCTCCTCCAGCGTCCCTTCCTCGACCTCAACGAGATTCCCATGCTCTATCAGGTGTCCTTCTCCTCCTCCTCCTCCTCCCTCATCTCATGGTTGTGTAGATGCTCAACAGTGGGGGAGCCTCGTGGAGGACGGAACGGGACTGGTGTATCCGCATGCTCAAGCATGCACCGCGCTCCGAACATGATCGGTCGATCTTCCGCAAGGTGCGATGCGGGAGGGTAGGTAGAGACACACCGAGGAAAGGAAGCAGAGAGTTGCGAAGGAAGACACAAACAAGCAGGAGAGAGAGGGAAGGGAAGGGAGAAGCAGTAGGAGCAGGAGGAGCAGGAGGAGGAGAGCAGGATCACGAAGAAGAGGAGAGCAGGATCAGGAAGAAGAGAGAAGAGCAAGGAGGAGAAAATAGTGACAGTGTGGCAGCGTCACGTCCTCTCGCTGCTCATGGCGACTCATGATTCGTTCTCCTGCGGCAATGACACGAGCTGCTCCATCCTTCAAGTGTTGCTGGCCTTCTCGCACACCCCATCAGGTCCTCCTCTTCCTCCTCTCCTTCCTTTCCCCCCCCCTTCCTCCTTTCCTCCTGCACCTGCTCCTGTCACCTTTATTCCTCTTCCTCCTCTCCTCTCTTCTTCCCCCTCCTCTTCCTCTTCTGCACCTGCACCTTCTCCTTCTTCGTCCTCTTTCTTCTCCTGCTCTCTGTGCTTTGTACTGTGCTTGTCCTGTCATTGTGTTCTCTGCGCCTCCTCCCTCACAGCCCTGCAGGTTCAGTGTATCTGGTCGAGCAAGCAGGCGTTCTTGCTTGGATCCGATCTTCCCTATCGCTCCTGTCTCCGGCAAGCGGCGGCAAAGACAGGCTAGGCACGTCAGGAGGAGCAGGAGCAGGAGCAGGAGCAGGAGCAGGAGCAGGAGGAGCGGCAGTGACAGCAGGAGAGGGGAAGAAGACGCTAGCAGGGCTGATGCTGCAGCTCATATACAGTCTCAGCGTGAGGCTTCCACTTGCTCGCCCTGTGCTGGCGTACGAGGAGCTGGCGATCTGCTGCCGGCAGGTGCTGGTCTACGCTGCCGCATGCATGGAGGAGGAGGAGAAAACTAGAGCTGTCGCTTCCTCCGCAGACGCCAGCAGCCTCGACATCGTCCTGCTCCTCCGTCTCCTGCGATCTGTGCTGAGCAGGAGGAGCAGGCTGCTGGGGGCTAGGGGAAAGAGCTCTGCCTCCTTCTCCTCGTCTGCTGCCTTCATCTCTCGGCAGGACATTCTCAGACTTTGGCAGAACCTGCAGGTGAAGGCGAATGCCAGCAGACAACTCTTCTTCGAGGTGGTGCAAATGATTCCCTGCTCTTGGATCTCCTCCTCCTCCTCCTCCTCCTCCTCCTCCTCCTCCTCCTCCATGTATCAGCTGTGTGTCTGCATGCTTCAAGCTTGCTGGCCTCGGCGGTCAGAGGAGAGCGGGAAGATGACGATGCTGGAGGTAGTGGCGATGGGAAGTGCAGGAGGGGAGGAGGCGAGGGCTCAGCAGCTGGGACAGGAGAGGAGGATCAAGTTCTTCTGGTGGATGGCAAACTTGTGTGCGGAGGATGACGAAATGTGCGAGGAGGTGCGGAGGAGGAGGAGGAGGCAGCAGAGTCTCCTTAGGAGCGCCCTGTTCCTCTACAGATTCCCTGCACCTTGCAAGCAGGCCGAGCAGCAGCTCGACGCTCTCAACTCCTTCCTTGCCGTCGTTACCGCACACGCCCTGCACACCAAGGAGGAAGAAGGCCAGGAGGAGGAGGAGGAAGGGCAGTTCACGATCAGACGGCTGCAGAAGCTGGCGAGTTACCTCCCGGACCCAAGGAAGGGGAGGAGGAGGGAGGACGAGCCGCGTCAAGACTATGACTCGCATGCGCTGGCGCTGCTGCTGCGATGGTTCTGGTCAGGGTGGGGGAGGAAGGGATGGAAGGAAATGACGACGATGATGGGAGAGGAGGAGGAGACGAGCGAGAGTCGGCTGCTAGTAGAGACACTCGACAAGCTGAGAAAGGAGGAAGCGGAAGTTGAGGAGGAGGACGAGAGGTAGCGGACAGATATATCAGAGCAGCTTGCTGTAGAAACCTTGTTCATATGCAATGAGAAACTGAAAACTTTCGGAAGCTTGCTTGCCTCCCGAACACACAAAATTTGTCGAAACGACCAAAACCGAGGAGGGCGGGCTAGGTGGATTAGGAGAAGGGCGGGAAGAAAAGGAGCAAGAGCAAGAGCAAGGTTGCAACGCCTCGCTACGTTGAGCTGAAGGGACTAGCTGATGCCAGGAAGTCGAATGTTGTTGCTGATGTTGGCGATGTTGCTGTGGATGTTGTTGTCCAAAGTTTCTCCCTGATCAATCGCAAAGGCTGGTCATGCTAAGGGAAAAAACAAGAGATGACGGAAACAAACGAGGTGGAGGGAAAGAAGCATGCATACATGCCGTCACCAGAATTGCTACGGCAGTCAAGATAATCTTGATGCTTTTCACAACCATCATCACCATCATTATCACCATCACCATCACCATCACCATCACCATGACCATCACCATCACTATCATCGTCATGTCCACAGTCATTATGTTTCGTTACCGAAGCGATCATCAGCACATCGTTGATCATGTGACGATTCCCCATGATGTCGACATGATCTGCATGGCAGTCAAGCCGAGTCTCTCCTCCTCCTGCCCTCCTGCTCCTCTTCCTGCTCCTCCTCCTCCTCGCTCACCCGCTGAAGTGTCTCCCCCACGCATGTCGATGAAGTTAGATGAAGGCTCGTGGACGTACTCGCGGATGACAGTCTGACGCGAAGGTCATAAGAAGGTGCCGGGAACAGTGGGACAGTTGCAGAGCAGGAGTATGAGGAGCAGGAGGAGGAGGAGGAGGAGCAAGAACAGGAGGAGGAGGAGGAGAAGGAGAAGGAGGAGGAGGAGGAGGAGGAGGAGGAGGAGGAGGAGGAGGAGCAGGAGCAGAAGGAGCAGGAGGAGCAGGAGCAGAAGGAGGAGGAGGAGGAGCAGGAGGAGCAGGAGCAGAAGGAGCAGGAGGAGCAGGACAGTGAAGGGGAGGAGAGAGCGAGGCTGGGGGAGCAGCAAGTCCACCTTAGATCCAGCAGGGTTCCAGTGACGGGTTTTCCAACCCCGTTGGCACCTGGAGGGAGGGTAAGGAGGGAGGGAGGGTGCAGCGAGTACTACATGAATCCGAGGGAGAGCAGGGGAACGCTGCCGTCTCCGTGTCCTCTGATGATGCCCAAAGAAGTCTGAGCACAGCAAGTGAACATCTCACGCCCCCACTATCTCCCCCTCCCTGTCTTCCTGCCTCCCTCCACTTTCCCTGTCCCACTCCTCTCTCAGCTTCCCTGTCTCCATCCTCTCCCCCTGCTCTCTCCCTTCCCCCCTCTCTCTGCCCCTGGCTTCCTTGTTCTCTTCACCATCGAGTCTTCGAGGGCAGTATCGATACGCCACTCAACATCCTCCATGTCCTGAGCATCTGGGATGGGAGCAGTGAGCTAGAGAGCAGCAGCAAGTGAGAGGACAAGGAGGAGAGAGAAGGAGGAAAGCTGAGGGTGCAGGAGAGAGAGTGAGAGTCGGCGAGTGCATGTTCCCCACCGTCGGTCTGATTCTTCGAGATGTTCTTGTTTGTCCTCTTGTAGAAGTAAGATCTCTGGAAGCAACATGAGCAAAACGAAGAGGAGCAAGAGTTTTCAAGGACGAGGACCTCCGTCTCCTTCCCCACCCCGTAGAGGCAGTAGATGGTGAGGTTGGGAGCGAAAGGGAGGGGCATCTCAAGGGGGTTCGTCCAGTACTTGGTCTCGTTCCCCAGCTCCTGCGATGAGCATTGCTCGCTCTTGTCCGAGGAGCGGTGAGTTCGCTTCCGCTTCCTGCTGTCGTTCTCGAAGGGCGTCGTCCTCAGCCCGTGCGAGTACCACTTGTGATAGTTGGCCAACTGCCCGTCCTGCACTGGCCCCTTGCTGCTCGACTCCAGCACGTAGTCGATGGCCTCCTCCACACTCAGGTCCTCCCCCTCCATATGCAGGAGGCTTGCGCACTTCCATGCTTTCTCCTCGTCGTCCAGCAAGTCGGGAGCTGGAAAGCTCTTGTTTCTCCCTCCCCAGAACACGTCTCCTCCCTTGGGAAACATGCTCGGAGCGCTGCCCCATGACCGGAACAGCCTCCTCCGCTCCCTCCGAGGGAGGTGATGATCTAGGATACCACCCATCACGCCCATCTCCGCCGTATCCTTCGCCTCCCCTGACAGTACAGCGCTGATTCCCTTGGGAACTCCCAGCCAGGGGATCGCAAGCCCGACCACAGAGTGGATGTATTTGTCCACCCAGTCTCTCCTCCTGTTGGCTGTTGCCCAGTGCAGGAAGTAGAAGAGCACGTTGCCGCCCATCGAGTGCGCAACCAGGATCGCCTTGGCCCCGTTGCCGTCCACCATCACCTCCACCTGAGAGCTCAGCCTCGTGAAGAACTGGTCCCGGTCTTCCAGCAGCGGGTATGCCAGCCGCCAGTCATAGGAGGCCATGAACATGGAGGAGGGGTCATACCCGATGTCCGCCAGGTTCTCTATCAGCTTCGACCACACCCAGTACCCCCCCACCACAAAGTCTGCGGCCTCGAACCCCTGCGCGCTCCTCAGCTTGATGTTGGGGGGGTCCAGCCCCGTGACAGGGTCCAGGGCCATATGCCGGAGCCAGCACTTGGTGTTGAGAAGCATGTTCTGCACCATCGTCATGGTCCCCCACCTGCCCAACAACTTTCAGACTCTCCCTCTCTCGCCTCCGCGTCCCCACATGCGTTGTCGGAAGTAACCTTTCGCACAGTCCTCCCCGCTCCACAACTCCAACCCGGTGGTTACAATCCCAGGCAGCATCACGACCGGGTGCTTCGCCCGAACTCCGTCCTGTCTGCTGGTGAGAATAGGCAAGCTCGAGATGCTCCGAATCCTTACCGCCCACAGGTTCACTCCTGGACGCTCGCAACTCGCGTTCTTGGACGGTGCCTTGGGTGTGAAGTCCATGATTTCTCGGAGCTGATAGAACAACCTGGCAAGCTCGTCAGGCAGAGGGCAGGAGGCAGGATGCAGCAAGCTTCCAACTGGAGGTCTGTCGGGGAGAATACTTGAATCTCCCTCCTTGCTTGATCGAAGGCGTTCCTCGACTTCTTCACGTACTCATCTAGAACTGAACCAAGAGAGGCGTCAGCGCCGCTGCAGGATCATCAACAGCACAACCTTGCAGAGGCAGCTCAGTGTCCCAGATCCCAAGGTTGTGACCCGCCCAAGGGACAGCCAGTCCTACGAAGAGCCCGACGACGAGGGAGAACCTTCGTCTTGCAAGAATATAGCTCACGCACCGAGCTCCAACTGTGCTCATCCGGCGTACTTTGCTCCCCGCGGCTGAATGCTTCTCACTGGGCAGGCCGTTTCTCACCCTGTCCCCTGGGTTTTCTTGATCTTGTCTCGTCGCATCCTTATCCTTGCCCGTCTTCTCCGCACCCGCTGCCGAGCCTCCTGGTGTTTGTCCCACATGGTCCAACTTTGTGCTGGCAGAGGAGGAGGAGGAGGAGGAGGGAGGGGGATCGTTCTTCCCCTTCCCCTTCTTCCCTGCCATCCTCCAGCACCTCGAGACAGAGTCTCCTCAGCTACCTACCTCTTGCCGTCTGTCCTCGCGCCCGACTGCTGTTTCGCTCCCTCCTCTAGCGTCCCTCCTTCTCGTCCAAGAGAAGCTTTGCTGATCCTCTACCTCGACAGTTCCACTCCCCGTACCCTCATCCCCCCACTCATTCTCCGAGCCCCTCATCCCAACACGGCTGCCCACACCGTGGCACCCGGTGACCGTGGCTGACACCTGTGCAGCACCTGTGCCCACTGACACCGCGGTCCGATCCGAGGGCGCCCGGGCGGGCTCTGCCGCCGTACGGTAGTAGGCAGTCCCTGCGCGCCAGTTACTAAGTGCACTTCAGTCTGCTCTGCGGGCGCCGGGCAGTGCTCCCGGGCCGGAGGCTCCGAGGCTCTCACAGAGTCAGTTACCCGTCCGACTCTCAGCCGTCAGTCACCCGTCCGACTCTCAGCCGTGGCAGGCTGGCAACTGACCGCCGCAGCGGCCAGTCACGCCGGTAGTACCCACCGTCAGCCTATGATATACTGATTTTTAGTAACTTAATAAAGTTTGAGTAAATGTTTGACCAAACTCGTCACCGCAGGGGGGCGGCGGCCGGCCCGGCCAGCCTGAGCCGTGCGGTCCGCCTCAGTGGACTCGATTCAAGTTCCCCGGGGCCGGGCGGGGGCGGAGTCACTCAGCGGCTCGAGGAGGCTGATCGGCCCATGATCATCCTTTACTTTACTCAAAGTTAAAGATCATCCAATGAGAGTCTCCGACATCATCCCGGCCTGGCCCCGGGCCCCCGGGGGCCCGGCCACGACTCGCCGGAGTCGGCTGCCACTCCGAGGCTCGGCAGTGGCGACATGACTTACAGCAATCATGGTGGAACTTGCCAGGCTTGAAACCTCAAGCCTGGGTATAGCTATGCTTGGCATTGTAACTTTCCGAACATCATTCGCCAGGGAAAAAGGGGACTTGTGTCGAAGAAAATCGTGGAAGTCAGTGAAGTATGATCAGCTGCATTCCAAGCAATGTGGAACTTGCCAGGCTTGAAACCTCACCAGTTGGAACTTGCCAGGCTTGAAACCCCACCAGTTGGAATGCAGCTGATCATACTTCACTGACTTCTACGATTTTCTTCGACACAAGTCCCCTTTTTCCCTGGCGAATGATGTTCGGAAAGTTACAATGCCAAGCATAGATATACCAAGCATTCTTTGACGTCGATGGTAGTCGGCTACAACTACATGTGCGTCTCTGCATTATTGGAGTGCAACATGCCATCGCATGCAAGATTCTGCGTGTAAGTCGCACTCCCCATTCCCTCCATGGAACGAGCTCTGCTGTGTTACTATTCCTCCCACTGTTCCTCCCATCTCGTGTCCTCTTACGTCACAATCTTGTTCCTATCATGAATAGTTTGTCCTCTGTGGCATTCTAGTAGTGCGAAACAGAGCATAGGAGGGCAGGATGGATGGGTGTACTTGGACCTGACCTTGTTCTTCGCCTAGACTTGAGCACACAGATGGAGAGACAGTACAGCTACGCAGCACCATGGCAGTGAGGAAGCACAGGTACACTGTCAAAGAGACATCACAGCTTGGTCATGAGACAAGTGCAAGTGCACCGATGCAGACAAGAACAACAGGTTAGGGCATCTGTCTTGAAAATCTACTCTCACCCCATCTACTCTCACCCCATCCACACTGATCATCGGAGTAGAAAGTTCACTGCAGGATCTCTGTTGTAGATGTTCAGTACAAAAGGGGGCCCACACCGGTACAACTTATACTATACATATAAATGGGAAAACAGTTTTAATTCTACAAACCACCTTTTTGTACTCCATTTGGAAAGATGAAACCTCCCACCCTACCTCCCCCATCCCATGAAGGAGAGGATCTGACACCGGTACTTCGAGTTCATATCCCACAAATACCCCACGGGCTCATCAATTATGTACCGGTGACTTTACCACCCACCCTGGTCAACTTCAAAAAATTCTCACTCGGGACTACCCTACACAAAACGTCCTCTCGCTACACTGTACCAGGTAACTACCCCACCCTAGAAGTTGACTCACTTACCACCCCTCCAATCCGCTCTTGCGTCTCCCCATCTTTAATACACACACCACCTACCCACCAGTCTCATGACATGGGATTCATGGGGGTGGTGGTGGTGACCCTCTTGTTGACTTCGAAAGGGCTCAACTTGTATGTAGGGGTCATGGTCGAAGAGGGTAGAAGCCTGAAGCTGTGGGTGCTCGATAAGCAATTTTCCGGTCATAGAGGTGGGTACCCCAGGAGTAAATTGAGACTGGTAAGGGTAGGGGTGCTAGCAAGAGGGTGCACAGGGTGGGGCAAAAGGACATTGAGGGCTAACCCACCCCTCAATCTGCCAGTCAAGTGATGGGGTAGCGACTAGATTTTACCGGACGCATGTCAAATTAAGGGGTGGGGTAGTCCAAGAATCGATACAATATTTTTATGTTTATAAAGAAAATTAGAATGTGGTGGTACAAAATAACGTCGAATACAGCTATAGAGGAATGGTACAGATCAGTTAGATGTACCTACCATACTTAGCCAGATATAATTGTGATTTATAATATGCTTGTTTTTGCGGGGAGATGCAGGGGTAGTAAACATGATAGGAACCGCGGCGATGCCGGCGTGTGAACGCGCCTCGATCGGCCTTCCTCCCCTCCTCCCCTCCTCCCTCTTCGTGTCTTTCTCATGCTGAACTGAATCCCTTCCTGTGTGTGGCTCAGTCGCGTCCTCATGGCATCCCTTGGTACTTGTTTGTGGACCTCTCCGTTTCGTGCTCATCCTTACACCATCCTTCGCGCATCCCCGTTGCTCTTCTCATATCCTCGTCCCGACACTATCACCCTGCTCGTGTATGACGACTGTTCCGCTCGCACTTGTTGGTCAGGACCTCTTGAACTTGGTGTTGGAGCTTCACTGGAAGAGATGATATCGACCCTTTCCCAATGAGAGTCCCTTGCTCCTCCTGCTCCTTCGTGCTGAAGTCTGCCCTTCAATACCATCTAGAATCATCATAGGCACGATGCCGAGGTTGTCATGGTGTCAGAGACAGGTACTTTAGGGCTTTGAGGCATGCTAGACACGAATGCCCGCAAACGAAAGTGAAAGGTCGCCGCTGGGCAGGGCAGGAGGCCGCCCATGCCCTTGCTCGTTTCGCATTGTCGCTGATGCAATGACTCGATGCTGTCTCAGGGAAAGCATGAGTCGTCGGGAATCGGATGCGACGAGTGTGAGCTCCGGCAACGAAGGTACTCTCCTCTGACCCGCGCGTGCTGGATTCTGACCGTTCCTTAGCTGGTGCTGTTCAGTATGAAGAGATTGACAACGATCGCAGCATCTATGTGCCAGAGGTGCGATGCTGGAAGCCCTCCGCCTTGCTTCTGAATGATTGCGTGCAGAACATCACTATAGAAGAGCGGGTCGAAGAGCTACAGATCTCAGATGACGTTTCGGATGCTGCGGGAGCAGAAAGGAACGGACCACGGTCGAACACAGGCACGCAGGACTCAAACACCCAATCTGAGAACAACCAAGGGAGCGACTCCAATGACAGCATGGACATTCCACAGGAGCACAACGGGGGGGAGAACGGTGATGAGAGCGAGGAGGAGGTTCAAATTCTTCGGTGCCACGAGTGCCGCACGGAGGAGAGGTACACTGCTGGCAGCCCGCTGCAGTGCGTGCACTGTGGGAGCGAGTTCGTCGAGATAACGTCGGGCGATAGCAGTAGGAGGAACCAATACATGTTCATGCGTGACCGCGCCATGCGGATGGCGCCGATGGGTTGGCACAGGAACTCTGGGGAGAGGGCAGGGAGGGATCTGCAGATTCAGATCTTCCGTGAACTCTTGTCCAGCTCACAGCTAACACTGGGGGATGATAGGATCGGGAGGCCATTCTCAAGATATTCGGAGACGAGGGAAATACACCCCAACATCATCTGTGACGGTTGCCAGATGCACCCAATCGTGGGTGCGCGGTACAAGTGCTGCCAGTGCGGGGACTTCGATCTGTGTGAGAACTGCCATGCTGCGCTCTCCCGCCGCAATGGATCGCGCATTCACGAGTGAGTGATTGCATGCCTTGTGTGTCTGTCTGATCATGCTCGTTCAGCACTACACACACGTTTCGAAGGCTCACGCCTGTCAGGCGGAGTCCAGCGAGGTTTCTTCAAGAAATCTCGCGAGTTGGGATGGAGAGCTCAACGCAGCATCGCCCTGCCTCCACCAACGCCCTAAAGGCACTTGAGACCCTGACGTACGAGAAAGGATCGACCCAAGTCACCGAGGATACCTGCGCTATTTGCCAAGATGATTACGAGTGTGGCCAAGAACTCACGCGTCTCCCTTGCAAGCATGACTTCCATTCTGCTTGCGTTCTGCCCTGGCTGAAGAAAGTTAACACATGCCCGTCATGCCGCCATGAGCTTGAAGCGGCACCGAACTCCTTCTTCGAGGCTGGGGCTGCTGACCGCGCTCAAACCATTCAATACGCCACCAACATCTTGGAAACTCTGTTCGACCTCAGTCTGGTCACTGCTGCAGCTGCGCAAATGAATGCGGCGAATGAAAACAACTCAACGAGGTGAAGCGACAAGGATTACAGAAGTACATTGCACCTCTGACACGTGAATGCAGGTTCGCAAGGCGCTCAAGGACTGAGGGCACGACGTCGACCTCTCAAGGTAAGCTTCTGGACGAAGCTTTCAGTTGGAAGCATCTTCGCAAGGACTGATGATGAGCAGGCATTCGTATGCGGAGGAGTGATGATCGAAGAACGCTGAGCAGGACTCGTTTGAGGAGCACGGTTTGATTGTGATGGTGCCGGGGTTCTGTTCTGAATGCCGCTTAGGAGGCTGATTCCCCTATGGACAATTTCTCAAGTGATCGGTGAGAGGGAGCCACACGCGCGTCGTCCTTCTGACTTGATGGGCTCAGGAGGCTAGGACGAGACAGCACTAGCAACTCCTCGGGGTCCAGGCGAAGCTCCAGCAGGTGGTGCCGCAAGGACTGTCAGGGAGACGCTGACGGTGGATGCAGGTTTATGTCGGCCATGGGTAACTTCGGACGTGCGATCTCTCAACGAGCATCGGATGCAAGGTCAGTATCAAGCTGACGCCTCGGGCAACCTCATCCGCCCGGCAGGTCTGCGATATGGAGGAGGATAGGATCGAACCAATCGCGTCACTCACGGGAGGAAAGGTAAACCTTGTAAACACAACCATGATGAGCACTTACAAGTTGACAGCGGGGCCGCATGAAGCACATGTTGAATGATTTGTTCGTGAACTGATACATTGTTTCTATTCTCTTTCTCTTTCTCTCTATCTTGCTTTCTGTCTAGCTCAACTGCATTTTCGCATCTTTCCTTACCAACACGCTGCTGCTTCTCTGATGATGAAGATGCAATAAATATTCTTTTCTCCATGGTCATCATCGAGCCGCAGCTAGCCTGGCTCTCGCTAACATCTGCTCATAATCTTCAATGGTTGGCAGCGGAGTATCCCGGTAGCTCTGAAAGCACAGTCAAGAGCGAAAGCCCTCCCCTCCCTGACCCGCTCCCATCCCCTCCTCTCCTCTCCTCTCCATCCTCCCTCCTTCTTTTCCTCTCTCCCTCCTCCTTCTTTTCCTCTCTCCCTCCTCCCTCCTCCCTCCTCCTTCCTCGTCTTGACCTCAGGGAACTTGCGCTTGTTCTGCCCACACTGTGAGAACATGTACATCCTCCATTCTGCAGGAGGAGTCAGCTCCATTGCTTCGCTGCAGCGGATTACAAGGGACCTGGCAGCGGATCTGCGTTGCAGAGCGAGAGCAGCTCGTCGTTGTACTCGAACTGTGGGAAGAGCGTGAGCGAGCAAGTGATCCCAGGGCCTGCGCTACCTGATCTCCTCCCTGGACGTGGAAGTACTTGAGAGGGACACCGAGCTCCTTCTTTCTCTCCCACTCAGCCGTAACCTCCTCCAGCATCTGGATAATCCTAAAGTCAAGACTCTTTCGGGGACAGGAGGGGGGAGAGAGGACGGGGAGGGCAGGGGAACGGAGATGAGAGGAGAGGAGAGGAGAGGAGAGGAGAGGAGAGGAGAGGAGAGGAGAGGAGAGGAGAGGAGGGGAGGGGAGAGGAGGGGATAGCAGAGGTGAGGAGCCGCTGAGCCTCTCCAGGGCCCGCAAAGAGGGATGTTGTGCTGACCTTCTGCTCAGAGGGCAGCTGGATTTCTCCCGCCCAGACCTTGGCAGCGTATCTCGCTTGAATCTCGAACTGAGGGAAGGGGACGATCTTGGCGGGGATGCCGATGAAGGCGATGGAAGGCATGGAAGGAGGGAGCATGTGCTTGTAGAGAGGAAAGATGGCGTTGTCCTCCACGTCCACTACTCCACTTGTCTGCAGGAAGGGGAAATGATACCTGGGCGAGGACAGAAGAAATGGCACAGGAAGCGATGCAAAGGAGCGCGGGGAGGGGAGGAAGATGAGGAGAAGCCGGGGGAGAAAGGAGGAGAAGGAGCAGAAATGTCAGCAGCTTCTATGGTACTTCGTCAAGCTCACCTGTAGCCTGTACAGTAGATGACCGCATCAAGCTTCTCTGCGACCCGTCCGTCGTCGAACTGCACGCTGTCATGCCCGAGGAAGCGAGCGATGGTGGGGCGCCTATGGATGTTCCTCTTCTCTCCGAAGGGAGGGGCGTTAGGATGCCCCCACTCCGGGTTCTGCCTCCAACAGTCAGCCAGGAGGAGGCAACCTACCAGTCAGCCAGGAGGAGGCAGCATCAAGGCAGCATCGGCACAGCACAACAGCATCGTCATCATCATCATGTTTACCATCACCACCACCATGATCATGATCATCACCATCACCATCAAGTCAGCATCAGCACACGAATCAACTCGTGCAGTGCCGTCACCTGCCAGGACCGAGCAGACAGGAAGACTTGGTTCGCCACGGCCCCAACCTCCCTTGAAATGTCCTCTCCCGACGCCGAGGCCCCCACGACGAGCACGTTCCTGCCCGAGAACTGCTGGGGGCTGCGATAGTTGTGCGAGTGAATCACCACCCCGGAGAAGATCTCGCTCCCCTCCAGCTCGGGCAGGAAAGGCTCGCTGTAGTGCCCGTTGCACACAGCCACGGCATCGAAGTGATCGGAAACACTCGACTCCTGCTGCTGCTGCTGCTGCTGCTGCTGCTGCTTCTCCGAAGCGGAGGAGGGCGCGTGCTTCAACAACCAAGAATGCCCTTGGAAACCTCTTCCTTCCTGCTGGCTCGCGCAGGGCTCGATGGAAAGGACCCTTCTCCGGAAGGCGATGTGCTCCCTGAGACCGTTGACCTCGCTGTAGGCGACGAGGTAGTTGAAAACGGCGCTGTGGTGGGGGAAGCGACGTGGGTCGCCGAAGGAGGTGTCGAAGTCGAAGTCGGAGAAAGACATGACCTCTCTCGGGAGGTTTGTGCGGAGATTCTCGTACATGGACGAGTGCACGCGCTCCTCTACCCCCACCTGCCCCAGTGGATCTCCTTCTGTCTGATTGCTGTACTGCCACACCCCTCCTACCTCCCCGGTCTGTTCGAAGACCGTCACCTCATGCCCTGCTAGCCGCATCTGCTTGGCGGCAGCCAAGCCTGCGGCTCCAGCCCCGATGATCGCAACCTTCTTGCTCCTGGGGTTACAGACTCCGTCGTTCTCGGCTTCCCCATTCATCCTCATCAGCCTCCTGCGCTGCCCTTGGCTACACGTCATCGGGGCGGCAGGACACGCCGAGAACGTCTTCCTCCTCGCAAGGTTGACGTTGGCGCTTAGGAAGCCAAGGTGGGAGTGCGCATGCTCCTGCCGATGTGCCCGCACTGTTGGGCGCTCGTGCTCGGCTACGGCCAGAGCACAGTCGTGCTTGACCAGCCAACACTCGACGCAGAGGACGAAGGAGATGAGTCTAGCGGCAGTCGCGTTGCTCCTCCGGGGTCGGACAGTCCGCACAGAGCTCATCAACTGCATCAAAAGGTCACGACACCTGTTGAGCTGTACTACCCTTTCTAAACTTGTTCTGTACCGGTACTGTGGCTGAATATGAAATTTCAGGACATATATATATACTTTCAGCGCAGCAGCTCCAGCGAAAGAAACGATCGAGATCAAGCAAGTAACTTGTGTACTGTATCGAGATCATGTTTGCCACTCACAAGCACAATTCCATGAAAGCAACAAAGCACTTCCTACACCCCGATCCGCACCCAAAGCTCAATCCATCGGTGCCAGCAGGGCAACTCGATACATCGGTCGCAAACGTGCAATTTGAATCACCTTAATCTCATCCTGGTATCAATCATCCTGAGAACTTCCACCGAACTGCCTTCGTCCCTCCCATCATGTGTCCTTTTCTTCCTGACTCCCATTGCCATTACCATCGCCCTTGCCCTTGCTCGCATCGCTATCTACATCTCTTCAGCTCCTTCCTCTACTTCTTTCTCTGCCTTCTCCTCTGTTTCCTCCTCCCTCCTCTCGCACCTCTTCTCCCGTCTCCTACGAGCTTTCATGGCATCCCCTAATTCACCATCGTGGGCACTAAAGCAGGCCGGCCTTTACAAAAGATTTAATCTTAAAAGTTTTGGTAGCTGCTCGAGTGTACCTCTACACTTAAATTTGTACCATTAATATTTATATTATACTTTATTATATAAGTTGGTACTGATACGAATATGTAATAAACCGCTTTCCAACAAATATTTCTAAAAATATTCTCCAATGGGTTCAATTTTTGTACCATGTTTCAATCATCTATTCATTGTTTACTCAAGATTAAGTTAAAATCATGTACCAACATAAAACTAATAAGTCCACCAGCCGGGCCGCCACCGGGCCCGACACTGAGTCACCGAGTGACGTACCGGGTGAGGGTTTGACTGGTTTGACCACGAGATTTGACCAGAGTGGTCAGTCCGTTGCAGGTTACAGGGGGAAAGGTCACGATGAGGTTCCTGGTGGGTACGGGTGTATACCCCCACCCCTATTTGACGGCGGATGTACCGGGACTTTACCCGGGTCTAGCGGTGTAAAAGGTTCACCCACCCCACTAGCCTAGTCAGCTGAGGGATTTCCTGCTGTGACCTGGGGGGTCATGGACCCACCATCTTTAAGTGCACCACCCACCCTTTATCTCGACTCCAACTCTGAATTCATGTACCCACCCCATGTGATCCCATGTGTTGCCACCCCTCGGCCTCCGGGTTTCCTGGTACCCCGGCCCCCGGGGGATCGCACTACCCACCCTGGTAAGAGGCTGCAACACTAACAAACCCCAGCAAACTTCGGTCCTTTGGGAATCGATGGAGGACCACCCCCACCCCTTTTTGGTAACCCACCCTAAGGGATTACAAACCCCACTTCAACGTGGTTGAACACACCCCACCCCATCTTGATCAATCGTGAAGGTTTTCATAGCAAAGTTAGTCAAAGGGGTGGGTATAAGATTTAAAGGGGTAAGCTCGTAAGGGGGTGGGGTAGGTTGTTGAGGCGTATTCATGAGATGAGTTGTGCATTGTTTTACTACCCACCCACCCACCCACCCACCCACCCACCCACCCACTTACCTACCTACCTCCACCAAATTGTACCCGGAGTCAAGTACCCCCTCTTTTGCCCATCATCACACTCGTACCCCCTAAATGATAGTTAAGTACCCCACTGTTTGACTCATGGTCCAGATTAAACTACCCTTGCAATCTCAGTACCCTATCAAGATTGGCTACCCCCTGGACGGGCTCTCCGCCCTCTGTTTCAAGCGTTCACCCCCTGCAAATCCGGTGTGAGGGTGGGTCGATGGGGGTAGGGTAGTAAATATTGAAAGTTTGTGTTGATGCAATCCGGAGAAGGGAGAGGGGAGGAAGATTGTAGGGAGACGAAGCGACAATGAGGATATCGACGTAGCAGTGAGCTAAGGAAACGATAACATGATTCAAGAACGAAGACAAGTATAGAAAGAAAAATTGAAAAGAATTGGAGAAGGATTCAAGTGTTGCAATGACCTCTTAGCTTTCTAGAAGTTCGACACCGAACAAGAATTCATCAGGCAGAGGAATTCTATGCGAGTGGTAGTCGCGTAATGATAGGCCTGGTTTATCTGATTTCGAGCAGTCTTGCTAATGATCAAGAGAGCATTTGTTGTGATCCGGTAGCCTCTCAACGCATCTTCGAGTGAATTTCAGAAGCTACAAAAAGTTGATTTAGCATATGACAGCAAACCAGATGTTGAGAGTGCGCACCAAGAGAAAACTGACGGCATTACACTCATGTTGTGTGCGTTCAGACTCTTCTTTTTCTCGTTCCGCGCTATGAGGTCGTTCAAAGCTTCAAAGATCACAAGACCCCTGCTGGCAAACAAGGCCTGGGGGTTGCCAGCATGCAAGGGCATGTCGTCGCAATCGTCCGGTGGACATGCGAAGAAGAAAACAAACGCAGACTCTCACGTTGCTTCATGGCAGCCAACTTATCACTCCAAGAAGCTAGACTTCGGTGATGCTGCCGCTTCTGCTGCTGCTGATGATGATGATGACATTGATGATGGTGGTGGCGGACGCTATGACTGACTGCCTCCCTCAGCCACATGCGATCCTGACTCCCTAGGGTCGGGCGCTCCTGCCAAAGTGCATAACATCATTCAAGGGGAGTGGATCCAGGGAACAGACGGAGCTTACGAGGTGATCCCCGACCCCATCGACGGCAGGGTAAGCCCGACAGGAGGATCCGGTCTCGCGCTCCTGCTGACGCTCCTGCAGCCCTTCATCGAGGTCTCTGAGATCCAGCAGAACAGCCTCAACGCCTTCGTTCGCAGCCTCAACTCCTGCCCCAAGTACGGGATGCACAACCCGCTGCTCAACGTCGACCGGTACCTCCTGTACGGGGAGATCTCGTTGAAGGCAGCCAACGTAAGGGAGCAGGCGAGCGAGGGTTCCTCCTGACGTAGTTGGCGTGCAGATGCTCAGGGATCCGGAAGTAGAGCGCTTCTTTGCTCGCCTGATTCAGAGGGTCTCTCCCAAGAGCTACGCGCAAGCGCGGGGGGAAGTGGTGGTGACAAGAAAATTCTTGGAGAACTTCTCAGGAGATCAGGTAAGCTTGTTCAACCTTGGCGGTGGTTGTGATGATGATGATGATGATAATGATGGTCGGGTGGATTTTGCTGCTGCTGCTGCTGCTGCTGCTGCTGCTGCTGATCGTGATATCATGACGGAGGGGAAGGCGACGACAACGGTGACGACTCGTGCAGGTTCGCTTCCTAGCAAGATCGTTCTCAGTCCCTGGAGACCACACTGGCCAGCAGTCGCAGGGATATCGCTGGCCGTACGGGCCAGTCGCTCTGATCACTCCCTTCAACTTCCCTCTGGAGATCCCTGTGCTTCAGGTGCGCTCGTTCGCCCTGCAGTAGGAGCAGCTGACGGCTCGTTGGCAGACCATGGGGGCGCTGTACATGGGGAACAGGCCGCTGCTCAAGGTCGACAGCAAGGTGTCCATAGTCATGGACCAGTTCATACGGCTGCTCCACTCGTGCGGCATGCCGATGGGCGACCTGGACTTCATTAACTGCCATGGCCCGATGATGCAGACGCTACTGGAGAAGGCGAGGCCGAGGTGCGAGGGAGTGAACGGGAGGGGTGGGGGCCTGAAGATGAGGAGAGGAGGAGGAGGAGTGACGTTGAGAGCAGGACAACACTCTTCACGGGGAGCTCCAAGGTCGCCAACATCCTTGCGGAGAGGCTGGAGGGACGGGTGAAGGTGGCACGACAGCTTCTGCTCCTCTCGCCCTCTGACTGATGGCAGGTCGAGTCCGCAGGGTTTGGATGGAAGGTACTAGGGCCCGACGTGCCGTCAGACCCTGCCGTCATCGACTACGTCGCGCATGTTTGCGATCAGGACGCGTACGCTTCGTCGGGTCAGAAGTGCTCGGCACAGTCGATCCTCTTTGTACGCCCCACCCTTGCCCCTCCTTCGTCCTCCTCACCTTACTCACCCTCCTGCCTTCAGGTGCACAAGAACTGGAGCAAAACCAACCTGCTCGACAAGCTGCAGCAGCTCGCGTCCCAGAGGCGCCTTGATGACTTGACAGTGGGGCCAACCCTCAGGTAACAGCTCCATCCTCCTCCTCCTCCTCCTTGAGATTCTTGCCCGCAGCGTCACCACTCAGACGTTCACGAACCACGTCGAGGCCCTCAAGAAGATCCCCGGGGCCCGCGTCCTCTTCGGGGGGGTAGAGATCAACGAAGGCAAGCACAACATCCCCAGGCAGTACGGGGCGATGAAGCCAACGGCCGTCATGGTACCGCTATCCTCCCTAACTGCGAGCAAGGAGAACCTTCAGCTCGCTACCACCGAGGTCTTCGCCCCTTTCCAGGTCGTGACTGAGTTCGACGACTCGGACATCCCGGCCGTCCTCGACGTCCTCGAGTTCGTTCAGAATCACCTTACAGCCGCCATCGTCTCCAACGACGTCTCGTTCCAGCGTCTCTTTCAAGGAAGAAGGTTCCTCTCCCCTCCCCCCTCTTTCCTCTAGTCTCCTCCCCTCCAGTCTCCTCCCCTCTTCTGTTCTCATCCCGCCCTCCCTCGCTCTTTTCTCCTTTCTCTCCCATCTCAGGTCTGATCTGCTCGCTACCCAGCGTGAACGGGACCACCTATGTCGGTATGCGCGCCAGGACAACAGGAGCACCGCAGAACCATTGGTTCGGTCCTGCCGGGGACCCGAGGTGAGGAGGAGGAGGAGGGCGGAGGAGGGGAGGGCGGATGTGACATCCGCTTCAGAGCCGCAGGCATCGGAACCAAGGAGGCGATTCACGTGACCTGGTCCTGCCATCGAGAGTTTATCCACGACAACGACCTTTCCTTCATTAAGAACTGGAAGCTCCCAGCTCGCACCTGAGCTACATCCCAACACAGGCGCCCTCGAAGATAGCTGTATCTTACTGGTTTATTAGACTACTTGCCCCTAGACACCTTGAACGGCTGCGTCTTCATCCTGATCCTTCCCGACACCTTGGACCGCTCGCTCCCTTCCCCCTCTCCCTCTTCCTGCACCTCTTTGGCTTGCACGGCCGCGCTATCCCGCGTCTTCCTGCATACCTTGCAGAACCACTCACCTTCCGGCACCTGCGAGAGCCTCGGCCACGTGCACTCGACGTGGTACGCATCGTCGCAGCCGTCGCACAAGATCATTCGCTCGTCGCCCTCGCTCAGCCCGCACTTCTTGCACGTCACGTACTCCCACGGATCTGCCACCTCCGCCGGGTTCACTCCCTCGACCTCCATCGAGCGCACGGCCTGCAGCAGCAGGTGCGGCTCAAGGGAGAAGTTCTCAGAGGGGACGGGGAGCTCCTCGAAGACAGACACCAGCCTCTTCCCGTCCTCTCCCTCCTTCTCCACTGGGTCGGATTGAGATTTGCTGCTGCTCTGGCTCTGGCAGGCGGTCGAGTCTTCTGAGGCGTGCTCCGCTGCGCTTGCTTTTCCCTTGACCTTGTGCGAGAGGTCAGGGAGAGGGTCAGCGTCAGGAGCCCCTGCTTTGCTGCTTCTGCTCCAATGCTGCAGGATTCGAGATCTGAGCTCCTCTTTCGTTCCCTTCTTGCAAACCTCCAGGTCCTCGGCAATCTGCTCCATGGTGGTCAACTTGATGGAAGCCAAGGAAATCCACTGCAGCGCCTGCCCGACTTCCATGATCCTCCTGACCAGCAGAGCTTTCTTGCCAGTGTGGTCTAACCCCAGGTTCAGGCAGATTGTTCGCAGAGTCGCCTTGCTGAGCTTGAGCATCTTCCTTTCATGCGGGTCATCGGTGGGCCTCTCCTGCTCACCACTGTCTTCCAGTGCTTCGTCAGACTTGACTTGGGAACGTTCCTCTACGTTATTTCCGCGATGGAAAAAGTTGTGTTCAATCCGGGTTCTGATCTCGTCTTTCGTGCCTTTCTTTGGCAGGCCCAGGTCCACGCAGATCGCTTCTAGTGCTGACAACTTGAGACTGGGTAGGGTAGGAACCGCTTGGTCGGGCAGAGCAGCTGCGATGCGATCACGAATCTCAGCTTTGGATCCCTTGTCGTCCAGTCCGAGGTCATGACAGATCAGCCTGATGGTCTGCTTGCACAGACTTCGGACGAGGAAGAAATCCTTAGGAGCTCTGGCCGCCCCTCCCGTGAGGTGGCTCTTGTTCTTCTTCTGCTCCTTGAGGCACTCAGGGCAGAGCCACTCGCCCTCAGGGAGACTCTTGAGCTTTGGATGCAGACAGTCCATGTGGTAACCGTCGTTGCAACGATCGCACAGCACCAGCTGGTCATCTCGATCCCCCGTACCGCATATACGGCAGAAGATCATTTGCCAAGGGACGGGCTTCAGTTGAGCGGCTTCATCCGTCTTGGCATCCACCTGCCCTTCTCGTCTCATGCTCTTAGACGAGCCCTTGTCTGGCTGTTCGACCTGAGCCTCACCACCTTTCTTGGTCGCGTGCTCTGGTTTGGGTCGATTGGCGTTCTTCATCATGTGATACAGCTTCGCTCTCGCGTCATCTCCCGACATGTTTGTACCGTAGTCGACGGATATCGCCTCGAGTGTTTCTGGCGTGAGCAGGTTTGAGTATATCCAAGCGAACACATCCTCCTCATGCAAGCGCATCAAGCTGAGCAAGAGCTGTGACCTGGTCTTCTGCACCTGCATCTTCAGGAGAGGTACTTTTCGATTGATGGGGACCCCAAGGTCGTAGCAGATCATTCGCACAGTCTCTCGCTTGAGCGGGTCCATGGCTGCAACCTTAGATGGGTCGACCTTGGAAAGACCACTGGACGCCAACACAGAACGAGACTTGTCCTTGAAGAACTTCTGGTACAGCAAGCGAGACGACTTGACCTTCTCTTTGACAGCCTGAGGTTCCGCGGACAAATCGCGGGCCTTGCTGAATTTTCGTGGGCTGCCCGACGCACTCTGAAGCAAGAATTTCAACTTGGACTGCCTCAACATCCTTGGGCTGGAGATGATTGGCAAGCCAGCTTGCTTTGGATTCGCGATGCTCTTGGTCGGACGTGCTCGTTTCAGCGACTTTACCGCTGCATTCTGTTTCTGCATGGGAGAATCATGAGATGAGATGAAATCAAGTCTTCTCTTGGGTAATTCAGGCGTGTCTTCCGCCTCGTTCAGAAGTTGCTCCCCGGATTCAGACGAGTCACAAGATGCTCGGGAATCAAGAAGATCCAGATGCTCGCAGATACCAGCGACCTCCTTTACGCTGGCATGAGGCCCATAAACCCCCGGCTTTAAAGCCGTGAGCGCGTCTCCTCCTGAACAATCACCCAGGTCCAAATCTCTGACAAAAACTGGCACTCGCTTGCCTAAATTCGTGTAGATTCCTCCTTCAACGTCCAGATATTTTGAGACCACTTTCCTACTCTTGACATCAAGCACCATAAAGCTGTAGTCACTTCGAAACAAGTCAGAGCGAGGCTCTCCTTCAGCATGCACATCGCTGTGACAAGATCTCCTTGCAACCGTTTCAAAACCAGCCATGTCAAACAAGGATTTCACACAATCCAGGGCTCTCACTACGACTAGCTTGCACTCCTTTCGACTCTGAAGCTCCTCAAGAAACATCTGGAGGAGGAGGTCGCAGCAACCAAATCCACTAATCAAAATTACTTCTGCAATCTTTCCCGATGAAATGTCCTGCACTACCTCTGCCCTGACAGATTCATTCGTGTTGTCAGGTTCATGACGCGATGTCAAATACTTGCTGAGTTGCTCCATATCTTCTTGGCTGAAATTTGTGCTCGAGTCCTTGATGAACAGAAGGAGGCCTTGTAGCCGCTGGCGCTCATCATTCGTGCGAATCATATGCCCACTAATTTTGTGATTCCTCAGGCATTGCTCAACAAGTTGCTGGTCATAATGACTATCCCTCGAATCCGTTTGGACAGTTTCTCCCTCAAGCTTGCCTGATGACATCAGTCAGAACGCAAACTGATAAATGATTTCATCACTTGAATGCAAACGCTTGTTGGCTTCAAGCAAGAAATCATAGATTTCTTCCTTTAAATGACGCAAAATGTTCCTTGACAAAGATGGAAGTACAAAACTTGACTGTTGGTGAATGAGTCAACAATGAGGAGAGTTTTGTGTCAGCACTTACGTGTAAATCTGAAGACAATCCCTCGAATTGCGGGACTGTTGAGAAATCGTACTTGCTCTTGATGTAGTCAAGACCGAGGGCATGTATCGACCCTCCGCCAAGGGCCACAGGCATCTTGCTGCTGATACTCGCATCGTCGCTGAGGTTCGAGGATCGCGGATCGCTCTCGGTGGAGCTCATGTTCAGGAATTTCTTTCCTTGCGGGGTCTCAAAGATGCATTTGGGAACTGCCTTGCCAAACTTCATTCTCTTGAAGTTCGACCCATCCATGGGCGTGGAGATCGGCCTGTGGGGCTCACTTGCTGCAACCTGCCCTGTACCTGACAGTGCTATCAGGCGTGCACAAGGTAGAAAATTAACACTCATGCACACGAAGAGCGGAACAGCATGGAGAAGATGGTTTAGGCAAAGGGGAGGAGGGAACCAGGGAGGGGAGAGGGAGGTAACGAGGGAAGGGACGGGAGAGGAGGGATGTAACGAGGGAGCAGAGAGAGGTCACTTAGGGAGTTTGTCTACCTTGATGGTTCCCTTGCGTCCTCGGAGTTAACTCCAGGTCGCTGGTGTCGGTTGACCCTCGACCAGATCGGCTCTTCTTGTGCGAGTCTCCATTGCGATCAAAGCTCTCGCCCTTGCAGGCTCTGCCATGATCCAAGACAGGTTCTGACGTGGACTTCCCTTCCCTGCTTTCTTCCTCATATCGCATGCGCCCTCTTTTGGGCTGATGGTGGCCTAAGTATGGGCACAACGGGTGCGGAGGGAACTGGTATGCAGCAGGCATGCTTCCTCCAGTGCGAAGCGGTACAAAGTTGATGGCAAAGTCTGATGAATCTGACTAGTTGGATGTCTGAGGATACATCATTTGATGTTCCAGCAAAATCAGACTAGGAGCAGAGGGGCGGGCAGAAGGGGAGGGTCGATGAAGGTGGAAGGAGGATGGCAGCACCGTAGTGAAGTGAACACGACAGACGCAACTTCGCGGTAAGTATAGCAAGGCACTAGCTGCTAGGTGACCGAGAGAGACAATAAGATGGAAGGCAAGAGAGAACAGGGAGCAGCCAAGGCAGGCCCAAGAAGAGAAGGGAAGGCGAGAGGAGAGGTGGAAAGATCAGGGTTCAAAAGGAGTCAATGCAGGTTGATAATGAGAAGGAGAGAAAAGGGACAAGAGAGGGAGGAGAAGGAGAGGAGGAGGGGGGAGGGGGGGGAAGGAGCAGGAGGGGGGGGGGAGGGAGGGAGGGGGAGGCGGGAGCAGTTGGTAGGACGGGGAGGCGACGAGACGAGGCGCTGCGGCTCGACAGGGCGGGAGAAAGTTAAAAATATAATTAAACATGGTACGGTCCATCGAGTACCAATATCGTCTTGGTCGACCGCAAATCAGTACCAATGAGTTGTACTGACTTCTCTATATTGTACCAATTATTCTAGACTAAAAGTCATATCAGTAGTCTTTTAGTATGAGAGTGCAGTTTGTACTGGAGATTATCTTGGTACAAACCACCCCTCTGACAAACCCCTGGAGATGAGTAAAATAATGACTTGACCTCCATTCCTACTGATGACCCCCCATGAATGGATCGGAGTTTCGATTCAATATTGAACTTTAACATCTTTGTCTTTGAAATTTTAGAACATTATTTAATGAATTATGCACGAAATGTATAAGTTTTATTGTTGGCCCTGTAGTGGAGGGATGTTGATCCGTAACGCTCCAAAAAAAACAAAAAGTAAGTTAATAATATCATCGGGTCCGCCTCATGATAATTCACAGTAGCTATGCCGAAAGCGGGAGGAGCTTGTCGCGGTATCGCACTAGACGAGCCGCGATGGCAGGGGAGACTTGAGCTGACGGAAGATGCTTTTAGACATGTTTTGAGCTGACGGAAGATGCTTTTAAACATGTTTTGAGCTGACGGAAGATGCTTTTAGACATGTTTTGAGCTGACGGAAGATGCTTTTAGACATGTTTTGAGCTGACGGAAGATGCTTTTAGACATGTTTTGAGCTGACGGAAGATGCTTTTAGACATGTTTTGAGCTGACGGAAGATGCTTTTAGACATGTTTTGAGCTGACGGAAGATGCTTTTAGACATGTTTTGAGCTGACGGAAGATGCTTTTAGACATGTTTTGAGCTGACGGAAGATGCTTGTAGACATGTTTTGAGCTGACGGAAGATGCTTGTAGACATGTTTTGAGCTGACGGAAGATGCTCGTAGACATGTTTTGAGCTGACGGAGATCCTGGCAAAGGAGACTTGAGCTGACCGAATGATGTCAAAATCACATGAGAATCCTTTTGGGGCCGAGAGACTGTCAAGAGAACGCAGCACGTCAACAATTGATGAGTAGTTGAATGCCCTGCTGAGCGGAGGAAATGCCAGTGCCGGTAATCATGGGAAGGAAGGGCTCGGGTGGGACTTGATGGACATGCAACAGGACGGTCGTGGCTCTTCTCTCGAGGATCGACAATCGGCACAGAATAGCATCGACTGATGAATCACATATGAACTGCATCCTCGTGTCTTCAATGCCTGACACATTATTGCACGGCACCATCATCAAAAACAATTTCGTCGAACGTTTGAGTGGTGATTTCATCCAAGGAAGTGAACTAAGGAAGTGAACTCATTTTCTTCCAGCGAGAAACTCGAAAACTGCGACAGGCTGTAAAGAATTCAGAGATCTCGTTGACATCGTATGCATCCGATGACGTTCATACTCACAAGATTCGAGTCACATTGAGGATCAATACGAGCACCAACTTCATGTTGGATTAAAACACATCTGCTGCAAATATGGTTCCGGGCTTGGATACGCTATGAGTAGGTTTTACTAATAAGAAATTCGATAACATCCGATCTCCGATATCGCGGTGTCATCGATATTCAGGCCCCTAAAGCTGATGCCGGAGTCAAGTCCGAGAGTACTGTACCATGTGTATTACCTGATGTTTCAGCGTCACCTCGAATGACAGTTGCGCGGAGACGCCAAGTGGCTCATCGTCGATCATGGAGTGTGATTTCACTTCGTCAAGAAGCGTGAACCCGAACGAGGCCGAGCTATTTGATCACGATAGAGGAACAGTAAGAGCAGATGCTCTTGCCACATTGCAACCCGAAGGTAACGTGATCAACCAGAATACCAAGACGAGAGGATGCTATCAAAAGGAAACGTCCTACCTGTTGAAGAACTCATAGACACAACAACCAACTGACCCAAAATTCACCAACAAACTAAGAAATAAAAACACATAATCATAGATATCTACAAGAGAGAATAGCACACCCTCTCTCCTTGTGATCTCCCAGCCTTCCCCATGCTGGTCGTCCCGATACCTCGCAAATGTCCAGACAAGGAGACTCATGCGATCATCTCAGCAAGTGCAGACTTCAGATCGTCTCCTGCTTGTGAGCTACATGAGTCTCGGATCATGTCCTCCAAGCTCAGCTCCTCCTCCTCGCCCTCCTCCTCGCCCTCCTCCTCAGACTCCTCCTGCACATGCCGCCGTCAGTCTACCCTGCAACCGCCGCATGCTGTCCGAGCTCTCACCCCGGCCAGCAGTCTGGCCTTGTCGACTCTCTTCTCGAAGGCAGCATACATGTGCTGTACCCCCAGCTCATTGCACGCCCACTGTCGCATCCTGTCATGACGCACAAGACCAGCACACCCGCCTCCCTCTCTCTCACCGCGAGGTAAGGCTTCGCTACCAGACCCTCGTCGTTGGTGAACACGTCCTCCAGGATGGTCGAGAGCTGGTCGCCGTCGTCCATCGCTCCTCCCCTTGCCTCCTCCGCAAGCGCCTCTTGAAAGGCCTGCCCGACTCGTCAGGCCCCCTCCCTCAGTCCCTGCCCGCCGCCTATGGCGCACCTTGCTCAAGCTCCCGATCTCCGAGAACACCTTCTTCATCCCTCCTTTCTTGGGCGTCTTGTCTTGGTGTTTCTTGTACGCTACCTCCCTGACCGCGTGGAACCGAAAGTCTTCCGCGTCCAGCGTCTTCTTATCGGGGCTGCCTGCTTTCGCGAGGGCATGGGACATCAGGCATGGCTGGGACGCGTTACGGGCAAGTCGGCTTTTCTTGTCGTCTCTCAACTTTCTTTCTGCCTGCCGAGCGAGGTCCGCCGCGTAGATGGCGCTCATCCTGGGGGGGGGCACAAGGAGTGAGAGAGTGTCCATTGAGGTGTCTTAGTAAGGGAGAATTATGTACGTCAGTCTACGCCTTCTGCAATCTGTTTTTTCTTTGATGACTATGATTCTGATTCTTCGATTGAATTCTGCTGTCCGCGTCCAATTGTGTACTTTCTAACTTTCCCTTGCTTGTGAGGTTTGTCATCTTTGATCGCTACTAGGAGGCTAGACAGCATGAACTGGCTTCATCTTATCCTCGATGTTCTCGTCCCTTTTTCTGCACTTCGTTCCCTTGCCAAAATTCGTTTCCGCTTGCAAGTAATCACTCACCGCCCCCTTCCCACCCCTACCCCTTCTCCAGAAGTTTTCAACTCACCCTACCCCTCTCAAGATTGCAACACAACAACTTGCCCTCTTGCACCCTCCCTTTTCACCGGGGAATACCCACCATATCTCCTCAAGTGAATCCCTTTATTACCACCCCCGTGTACAATTCATAGCCGCTACCACCCAGAGCCACCCTTTGAGGATGGTTGTGAAGAAGGCAGAGATCTAACGCGCCTCTTCGTCTGTAAGCCTTTCAAAGTGTCAGCAGTCACGTTACCCTGAGTTTTTACCACTGTGAATGAGTCGCACACGTGCTGGTCCGCCGCCGTGAAACTGTAACGCCCGGCGGGGCCCGCCGCTTGAGGCTACGGTGACTCGGATTAGGCGGCGGGCGGACCGGGCCCCGGGGGGCGGCGCGGCCGCCGCAGTTAGCCCGGCCGCGCCCTCATCATGGCATGGTGACCGATCGGGATCTGAACCGTTTCTTTTTTAGAAGTACGGTCCGTAGAACCTCCGTAACGGATTAGAGGCTTGCTGAGATTCCAAACGTTGAGGTTTCAGTACAACCGGGTGACCCGAGATCCAAAGGGAGGACTCATGGCGGGCCTGGCAAGTTGCCTGTAGTAAACACCCAAAAGTAGACCGGTGGCAGATTTCAGATGACCAGATACGCTATTTGAAATATAGAATTATGATTTGAAGTGTTCTTGAAATCTGCCACCGCAATGTGACGATTACCGTCCACGGGAAAAGCAGGGGTCCTAGGAGTGGAAAGAAGGGGTCTGCCTCAAAGAAGTTTCCAAAAGGGGGTGGAGGGTTCACTAAAAAATGGGCCACGAATGAAGAGCTCGGAGCGAGACTAACAGGAGGAGGGAGAGTCGCAGGAGGGGAAGAAGGATAAGAAGAACTTGAAACAGGGAGAGGGAGAGAGAAGGAGTCAGTCCGTCCGTCTGTCAGACAGACAGACAGACAGACAGACAGACAGTCTGACTGACAGACTGACAGACAGACTGACAGACAGACAGACAGACAGACAGACAGACAGACAGACAGACAGACAGACAGACAGACAGACAGACAGACAGACAGACAGACAGACAGCAAGGAAGGAAGGAAGGAGGCAAGAAAGGAAGACAGGCAGAGATAGACAAAGACAGAGACAGAGACAGAGACAGCAGGCAGGCGGACTGGTGGGGTAAACGGGAGGCAAGAGAGACAGAGAGGTGGGGAAAGAGGGAGGAACGAGAAAGGAAGGGAAGAGAGACAACCAGCGTGGAAATATTCTCTGCGTGAGCCAACAGTTCAACAAAAGGGTGAGGATCAGAAAATAATTGGATATGGAAGTCGTATAATTGGAAGAAGTCTTGCTCCGTATTTAACATCTCTCGTTGATAAGAAACATGCACGCGACAAAAAAGAACCACAATCAGAAGAGAAAGGTAGGGCAAAGAGAGAATTTTCTACGATAGACAAGATTCCGTGAAAAGAGCAGAAGATTCATGAAAGTGTATCCAAGATATTGAATTTCTGACAGGGGCTCAATTTCTCGAAAAAGGAAACAAGGATACATACGTTCTCTTACCTTCTGTTGCTCCCCAAGCATGAGCGCATTCGAAAGCCAACACCCCCTCCATGCCGCAGACCTCGCTCGGCAGGCAGAAAGAAAGTTGAGAGACGACAAGAAAAGCCGACTTGCCCGTAACGCGTCCCAGCCATGCCTGATGTCCCATGCCCTCGCGAAAGCAGGCAGCCCCGATAAGAAGACGCTGGACGCGGAAGACTTTCGGTTCCACGCGGTCAGGGAGGTAGCGTACAAGAAACACCAAGACAAGACGCCCAAGAAAGGAGGGATGAAGAAGGTGTTCTCGGAGATCGGGAGCTTGAGCAAGGTGCGCCATAGGCGGGCAGGGACTGAGGGAGGGGGCCTGACGAGTCGGGCAGGCCTTTCAAGAGGCGCTTGCGGAGGAGGCAAGGGGAGGAGCGATGGACGACGGCGACCAGCTCTCGACCATCCTGGAGGACGTGTTCACCAACGACGAGGGTCTGGTAGCGAAGCCTTACCTCGCGGTGAGAGAGAGGGAGGCGGGTATGCTGGTCTTGTGCGTCGTGACAGGACGCGACAGTGGGCGTGCAATGAGCTGGGGGTACAGCACATGTATGCTGCCTTCGAGAAGAGAGTCGACAAGGCCAGACTGCTGGCCGGGGTGAGAGCTCGGACAGCATGCGGCGGTTGCAGGGTTGACTGACGGCGGCGTGTGCAGGAGGAGGGCGAGGAGGAGGGCGAGGAGGAGGGCGAGGAGGAGGAGCTGAGCTTGGAGGACATGATCCGAGACTCATGTAGCTCACAAGCAGGAGACGATCTGAAGTCTGCACTTGCTGAGATGATCGCATGAGTTTTCTTGTCTTAGATAGCTATTTGTCGCGCCCCTGCACTCCCGGAGGCTTTCAAGGCCTCTCCTTGCTCTTAGATCCTTTTCACTTTATCTCCCTTGATGTCTCTTATTCTCCTGGTGTTGGGCTGTTAATCGCTCTCTTTGCTCTTGTTTGTTGTCTTTCCATACACCTTGATTGATTGGATTATTTGAATATATTTCCTGATTCTCTAGGCCGGATATGTGCTTTTTTGTTTACCACTTGCAGTGCCCCGTCCAGCAACACCTTTCTGTCGCCCGATGATCTCGAGAGGACCAGCATCCTTCAACCCTCATACAATCGATCTCTCACTGAAAGGAGCTAGGAGCAGCAGACTTATTCAATACTCAGGCTTGGCCACTCGATGGGGCTGTGCTCCTTTGGTGCGATCGAATCCCAACGGGCATCAACGTCAAACACCCCGTAGTCGCGAAAACGGCTCAATTGTAAGACTTTGCAAGTTTTACCTCTGTGAATGCGGAATAGGAACGGGTTGTGTTGGTGACATAGATGCACTTACAAGAGTCGTGAAGCAGAAATGCAAACGAAGACAGCCAGATCATCGAGACCGTGACCGGGCATGGAGCAGGAATTGTTCCATTGTTTATTAGCTGGCTCAATTCCGACATCCATCGAGGCTCTCTCTCCGGCTCAATTGGCTCTCCTTTGCTCTCTTCCCCACTCTCTTGCACCCCGAAACCACCCCAGCCCTCATTCCCCCTTCTTCCCTATTCCTCTCTCTCTCCCTTCCCGCTCTACCTTTCCTTATCTCACAACTCTTCCTCCCTCGTCACCTCTCCCTCTTCCCCACTCTCCCTCCCTTCCCAATCACCTTGAATCACCTTGCTTGCGAGTCGGGCTCGGAGGGGCCCGGCGCCTTCACTGCTTCGAGTAATCAGTACTTATAAGTGTAATAAAGTTTTGAAATTCTGTGCCTATGTTTTGAAATATGGATTGTTGCCAGAACAAAAGTACCTCAAAAATTCAGGACTGAGCAGTAGCAGTTCACCCCTACCCCAAAAGTTCCCCCTTTCTAGTTTTCTGTCCCTTTCTAGTTTTACCACCCTTTCCCCAACTTTGTTCCAAATTTTGAAATCTTGATATTTAAGATTCATATACAAAATTTTTGTTTTCAAAGTTTTGGTGGCGGATTGGGAGGACAGAATGGACATCGGGGACATGTCGGTGGTAAGATTTGATGACCGGTCATTTTGTCTTCAATTCATGGGGTACTTGGGGTCATGAGGTCTCCCACATTGTCACTTTACTACCATCACAATCCATAGGACCCCCTGTACCCGCCCCTGGTTGTTCCTAGCATGAAGGTAGGTAGGTGGGTTAATGACTGTAGGACCCCTGGTATTCCCAAGTCTTCAATAACCCCACCCTCAAGGTCGTCGGATCTGATCACCCCCGAGACCTCCTACGTCTCCTCCGATGACCTCAAGATCAAGGGTTAAATGAATGGGGGGTGGTCTGTGCAGCAGGAGAAGGGGGTGGGTTACGTGGGGTCATACATAGAAATTTTAGGGTAGGGTACATGAATAATAAAATAGCCAATGGGCCATAGGGCATAGGAATAGAGTATAGGGTATAGGAAGGGAGGGGTGGGAAATGCGAGGGAATAGGCTGTGAAGAAGGGTAGGTACCGGGTGGAAGGTAGATGGGAATACCCCCTCTGCGACTATCGAACTTGTTGGAAATATACCAAGGGGGGTGGGGGGTCAAGAGGGGTACAGAAGGCAGGGGTCCCCTGCAAGACCAAAAATGTTTTATCGAGTCATTTTAAAACACTACCACTTCTCTGTTAGTCCTCTTTAAAACACTTTTGTGTACCATTGATAATATTTTTATTTCTAAAGCATCCTTTTTCCTATCTGATTAACTACAAGTTATTTTAGGTACTGAATTATTCGTTCATGTAACTGGGTAATATATATTTATAGAGATCATATCGGTAGACTTTTTCACAAATATATTTTTAAATGAATATTGTGTATAAGTTGTGGTACGAAATCACCCGTCGGCACCTGCTAGGCGCGTTGACCCACTCTCTGCAGTACAAGGCAGGGGTGAACCATCCTCCAACCTTCCCGTTCTCTCCCACTGCCATGGCGGCGCCCCCCGCGGTATGGCCTGTCCGCTGCACCACTGATGCTGTTAGCCCCGCGTTTGTGTTTTCGTCCATGCTGATATGTGGAAGAACATGTTAGAAACTTGATTGTGGGCTCCGGTTTAAGTCTTTTGTTTGTCCCTTGTTGCTTTATCACCTTTGAAACTGTTTAGCTGTCCTGCCTGTGAGGTGTTGCTCAATGGTCAAGCCAGTGCGTGCATGGAAGTCGGCAGGACCTTGGCCGTCCTATCCCACAGACACATGCTTCACTCATCGATGTGAACCTGCTGATAGCCACTTGCTGCTTCTTAAGAGAGGGCATGCTTCGCTCTATGTGGAGGGTGATATCTCAGCGGACGAGAACTTGACTTGGCTGCAGGGCGCCTTTGGGGTGGTTGGTGGCAGCACGGATCCACCACCAGGGGGTTCAAATTACAACATGGGGATGGTGGGTGGTGGAATGCAGGGCCAAATGGTTGGCTACATTGCGAACCAGAATCAAGGTATGCGTCGTCCAACTCGACAGATTGGGTCCACACAGTCTTGATTCCAATTGTTTCAACCTTGAAAATGATTTCCAAAACACTGTATAACATCTCAGTGCACCACCTTGGATGCCCAATGTTATCTTGTGTCCAGAAGCCAATCCTCATTCACAATGACTCTTGCTGTGCAATTTCGATGATTTTTTTTTGTCCATAGGAATGATACAAAACAATATGGGATTCCACGGAGGGTTTACAGCACCAATGGTGCCTGTGTCACAGAATATAATGATACAGAATCAGCACGGATTTCAATCTGTGCAACCTTGCCAACCCAGCATGCGTCCACAGGAGGACTCGAATGTGTCAGCCCCTGCACCTCAAGCTACGATTCCGAACCATGTGTACCATGGAAGGTGATATTTTGATATCTACGTTGGTTGACATCATGGAAGCTTTCCATATGAGTCGTTCCTGATGTTTTCTGTGAATCAGGAATGCTCGCAGCGTGCATGATTTTTATCATATCGGATCTACATTGGGGAAGGGAAGCTTTGCAGTTGTAAAAGAGGTTGCTTCAATCTTAATTTTGCTTCGGGAGCTTATTGATTGTGGGTGATTTGCAGGCTCAGCATAAACACACTGGTGTCCGAGTTGCCATAAAGATGATTGATCGTTCGAATCCAGGTTTGTTTATCGATATTGAGAGATTTCAGCTGATTTTAGTGTAGCGTTTGATGCCGATGCGTTGCGCAAAGAAATTGCAACGATGCATCGTATAAATCACCGGAACTGTATAAGACTTCATGAGGTTCAAAACTTTCATATTGCAAGGTGTTGGGCATCGATTTGATCCTTGCGGTCAGGTTTTTGAAGAACAAGGATATATATGTCTGGTCCTAGACCTCGTAACTGGAGGGGAACTGTTTGATAGAATAATTGCACGTGGTCATTATTCCGAGAAGGATGCTGCTGAGGTAGGATGGTTTACCATCTCACCAGCCGTATTAACTTTGGTTCAGGTTTCTCGAGATGTCTTGCAAGCAGTTGCGTACTTGCACGCTCAAGGCATTGTACACAGGTCTGATTCAATGCTGCCTTGTTGCTTCCATCATTCATCTTTTAGTTCTATTACATGGCATACTCATTTACTCTTTCAGGGATCTTAAGCCAGAAAACTTGTTGTACATGTCAAACGATGAGAGTATGCCGGAATACAAGCACATCAAAGTTGCAGATTTCGGTCTCGCAAGGTAAAGGGATCTTCCTATTTGCCGATTTCTCCCGGGTAGCCGGGGCTCTCTCGTTTAACTCGATATGATAGGTGTGGATCACCCGATTCACCCATGCGGACAATGTGTGGGACTCCAGGTTTCCTCGTGTGTCGCTCAAAACGTTTCAGCTAAAGTCTGCCCAGGATATGTCGCCCCGGAGGTGCTCGACCCTCGTCTAACAGCTCCGCATGGATACGGGCCTCAGATTGATGTCTGGAGTATTGGAGTGGTCCTCTACATCATGCTCTGCGGATTCCCTCCGTTTTACAGCGAGAACACTGTCACGCTTTTTCGTCAGGTTAGTCGAATCAGTGATGGTCGTCTGGTTTATTCATGAGTTTCATAGATTCGAAGAGGGGACTATTCTTTCCCGTCTCCCTACTGGGACAATATTTCAGATTTAGCGAAGGCACACTTCTTTGTTGCTATTCGCACGCGACTCATGTGCGTTATCAGGACTTGGTCAGGAGGATGCTTGTCGTTGACCCTAAACAACGTTTGACAGCTCAGCAAGTAATCCGTTGACCTGCCCATCGTCACCTCAGTTTTTCATTTCTGCTGACTGGATTTTGCTGTGTAGTGTCTCGAACATCAATGGATCGTAAATGCAAGCTCCCAGGAAGACAAATCCCTTGGCGCGCAGCACAAGGCCTTCTTGCTTATCCGCCGCTTGCCGTTGTTCGAGCAGGTGCTGCACAAAGTTTTTGTATCGGTGTGCTGAGGTTACGACGCAGGTTGATCCCAGCTGCTTGTCGGAAGTCACGCGAAGATTGAAGAGAGTCACTGTCAAAGCAAACGAGTATGTCATCAGATCGGGGGACGAAGGAAAGTGCATGTATTTCGTCGGATCTACGCCGCAGCAGACGATTGGAAGCGGGGTATACGTTGCGGGATTCCTGCAGTGCGTCTAATATGTTTGATGAAGGTTCATCTTGGAGAGGATATTGCCCACGGCATTCAGAGATCCAAGTGCTTGTCCGTTTTGGTTGATGGTCAGGAAGTCACGTGTCTAGGGACTGGAGACTACTTCGGAGAGGTGGGTCTGCTGCATGTCGTCCTCTTTCTGAGCTGCGCATAGGTTGCTCTGGTGTCAAGAAGCGATCACAAGAGAACAGCAGACGTGCAAGCCTTGTGCACATGCGAGCTGTTCGAGCTGAGCAGGGAGGACGTTGCCACCGTCATTAAAAGCTTTCCCATCCTGGAAGCAAGGCTTCAGTCGATGGCGGAGGTGCGGCTGCTGTGAAGGCAGTTTGCTCGGCGTTTATCGTGATGGCAGGCGAGGTTGCGGAGAGCTCAGAGCTCGTACTCGGGCTCGAACGGGAGCAACGGCAGCACCAACAGTCTGCTGGGGTCTGAGAACCCTGGTGAGATGCAGAGGATCAACCTTTCTAGAGCCTCAATGGAGTCCAACGGGAGCACCAACAGCTTGCAGTCGTTCGACATCAACGAGCCCTCGCAGTCGGAGGGAGCCGAGCATGTTCCGAGCTACGCCCCGCACGTTCAAGATCCCAGCCTGCCTCAGACCTCTCCTGTTCTCCAGGCTCTGCCTGGCATGCCCTACCAGAATCAGCCCTACGGTTTTCAGGCAGGAAACCACAGGCAGCCGATGCAGCAGTACCAGCAACTGAGCCCTCACTTGTCAGCCCATGGGCAAGTTGCTGGCCAGACCTCGGCCCCCCAACGACGTCCGCAAGACGCGCGTGCTGATGCAGCGAGCAAGAGCAAAAAGAGACCCAAGTACCTTGTGGTCTCTGCCGAGACGACCAATGCTGACTAGCTGATGCGCAGGAGTCAGAAGCGATCCAAGGGCGGGGAGTACTCAAACCCCTCAGACAGGGCACAGCAGTTCAAGCACCTCTACCAAAAGCAACCTTCTATGGCTTACCTCGCGCACCCTGAAGCTGTTCCGCGCATTGATGGTAGTTGGAACGTGTGCCGTTGCTCGCTGACCGTCACCCCAGGCATCCTGAGGATGAACTCGAGGATGGGAATCCTCGACCACGTCGACCTGACGTTCGGGTTCGAGCGGGGAGACATGGAGGGTCAAGTGTACGCGCAGGATGTGGGTGGCTCTAGTGTCGCCAACATGCCAGGCATACAAGCGCTGGGAGGGGGCATGCTGGGGATTGTGCCCAACGCTCCCCTGCCTCAGGACAGGTCGGGTAGCCCATGTGTCCCTTCGCTCCCTGCATCATATGGTATCGGACTCGCCTCCACTGGTGTGCACACGATGAACGTAGCGGAAGCTACGACGACGTCGGTGGTTCGTTTTGAGGATGAGGTGGGAGGATGCGACGATCGGGGGAGCAAGAGGCAGCGAACCACAGGGACGGGAGGGTCGAGGAACTAGGAGAGAAAGTTAGAGTGGAGGAGGGAGGGAGGGAAGGAGGGAGGGAGCAAGAGTGTAATGCGAGCATTTGGAGCGTGACAGGACAAAGACTAATTGCTGGATCATGCACGAAGGAGGGATTTACTGTAAATAGAAATTCAAACATCTTCCGCTTTCTGCTGCTCCTCCTAGTCGTTAAATTCATATTGATGTTCCTCCTTCATATTCAACTTCTTGCAGCATCTGCTCTTCTCCTCTCCTCTCCTTTCCCCTCCCCTGTCCTCGTTCAGTAGAAGTTCTGACCCGACAAGGCCCCCGTCGAGCGGTACAAAACAGGATCAGCTGCTGCAAGTTCAGTAGAGCATGAAGAAGAGTAGAGAGCGTGCGGACCAGCATAGCTCGGAACACTCCTGCTCAGAAACAAAGTCAGGTTACGACGGAACAGGAGGGATCCATGGAAGGGAAGGAGCCAGGAGGACTGAGGAGCGAGGAGGACTGAGGAGGAGGAGGACTGAGGAGGAGGAGCATACCGAGACAGAAGCTGAGGGGATGTCTGAGGGAGGTACGAAAGGCCCTGGATGAGGGTCAGGCAAGGGATCGAGCACGCGAGACACCAACGTTGACGCTGCTAGGGGGCTGCACTGACGTGGGCAGCTGAAAGGAGGCGAGATAGCGTGAGGAGAAGAAGAGGGAGGGGGAGACGTACGAGTACAGTCTGCAGGGGAGCAGGAGGAAAACGGGGGAAGACGGTGTCGGCAGCGATGGAGATCTGACACGAGCGTGAGCAGTGGAAAAGGAAAGAGATCACGAAAGAAGATGAGGGATGAAGCATAGAAGATCGTACAAGGACGCGTCAGGAAGGAGGAGCGAGGTGGGCGAAGAGGAGCAGGGCGAGGAGGGTGGGGGAGGGACGAGTCAGACCTTTTTTTGCGACCTCGATGAGTTGAAAATGTCCGTGGGCTGCGTCATGTTCCCTTCATTCGCCTCCCGCGCCTCCACTGGCTGCAACTCCATCTCCTCGTCCTCTGGTCCTGGACTCCTGCATGCGAGGATGACGAGCGAAAAGACGGGAGAAAGAGAGCTGGGGAGAGAGTTGAGGAATGAGAGAGAGCAGAGAGCAGAGAGCAGAGAGCAGAGAGCAGAGAGCAGGAGCACAGGAGCAGGAGCAGGAGCGCAGGAGCTCAGGAGCAGGTGCAGGAGCAGGAGCGCAGGAGCGCAGGAGCAGGAGCAGGAGCAGGAGCGCAGGAGCAGGAGTAACTTGACCTTTCATGCATGACGTGATCCATCGTGTAACCGAAGTTGCTGACGTCGAGCCCTTCGTCCTAGCAAGAGATGTGAGGGAGGCAACGAGCCTCGAGGCTTCACCTCCATCTTGCTCGTCGGCCTTACGCCCAAAGTGTTGTCGATGAAGGCGATAGTGAAGCATGATATGCCGGCAGTCCATGCGACTATGGTGAGACTACCAAGGAGCTGGATGCCTATCGTGAGGAGACGGGACAGGACGGGACAGGACGGGACAGGACAGGACAGGACATGGTTTGATATGGCCGGCAGGAAAGAGGACAAAAGGAATAACGTGCGCAAACGTTGGTTCGAATGTGTCCAGCAAGGAACTTCTCATGGGCAAGAGCAAGGGAGAGGAGGATGAAGCTCTTCAAACCTGAACTCCCAGCTGCTCTCCTTTCTCGCAGGCTGTGTTCACATTGGGATATCCCGCATAGCGCACGTTCTCTGCAGCTGCGTAAGGGGAGTTGGTGGGGTTGAAGGAGCTTCATACTGTCAGTGCAGAAAATCCCGACGCTCCACAGTCCCCAGAGCTGCATAAGTATGTTAACTGTGCCCTGCCCTGCCCTGCCCTGCCCTGCCCTGCCCTGCCCTGCTGTGCTCTGCTCTGCTCTGCTCTGCTCTGCTCTGCTCTGCTCTGCTCTGCTCTGCGCTGCGCTGCTCTGCGCTGCGCTGCGCTGCCCTGCGCTGCTCTGCTCTGCTCTGCGCTGCTCTGCGCTGCCCTGCCCTGCCCTGCCCTGCCCTGCCCTGCCTGTCCCAGTCCCTCCTCGCCTCACCCCTGCGCTGCCATAAATGTTGACGCCCTCGCATACATCGTCGACCTTGAAGTAGAGGAGGACGGCTCGACCTGCGGGCTAGTCAGCTGCTGAGCAGTAGGGAGGAGGCGAGTCCTCGCCGGCATTGTAGATGATCGGTGATACTGCTCCGATGAGGAAGGCCATCCAAGGGTCCACTACCGATGCCCCAGCACTGATAGCGACCTGAGAACACAGGATGTTAGGCAGAGAGGGGGAGGACGGGGCAACGGACAAGGCTGGTCAGAACGCCATTGAGGACGGGGAGGAGCGAGAAGCTCCTGTTGAAGACAAGCTCGATGATGGTGGCAACGATGACTCCTGCCGGACTGGGTGACAAGGCCGTCCTCTCCTTCTTTCCCTCTCCCTCCACCTCCTGCCGTAGAGATAGTCGTGTTCACTGCTACCTGTAGGTGTGAAAGTCAGCCCTTGCAGCAGACAAAGTTCTTGAGAGGAAGCAGTATAGAACGAGGAGAGAGGGGAAGAGAGAGAGGAAGAGAGAGGGGAAGAGAGAGGAGGGGAGGGACGTGAAGGAGCATCTCAGTCATAGTGGTAAATGGTAGCGCAAAGAGCATGAGGGTGGAATAGCCAGAGAAGGAGGAGGAGGAGGAGGAGGAGGAGGAGGAGAAGGCGAACCTTGGCTGCGACATCTCCATGTCCATTGGAGATGCGCCAGGAAGAGCCGCAGAGAAGGCCGTACCATCCGAAGCACTGGAAGAGAACACCCAAGCTCGTAATGCTGCGGGAGGACAGGCAGGAGCAGGAGCAGCAGCAGCAGCAGCAGCAGCAGCAGCAGCAGGAGTCAGCGAAAGGCGTTACGTCCTCACCCTCCTCACTCACAAAGGATTGCCAGGGTAGACCGAGGAATTCTCTGAAAATCGATTTTTACGGGGCCCCAGGATCAACGTACCTGCAGCGGCGATGAGGCTGAAGCTATGACGTCACAGCGCAACTTACACACGAGCGATGCGGTCCCAGCAACGATGTGGACCACCGCTCCTCCTCCATGGTCGATCATCCCGTTGGATCGCGAGTTGTAGTGAAAGATGGGGCGCGCAACTCCGTTGCTGTCAGGGTAGGCACCCCAAGCCGACAGCCACCCTGCTCAGCAGCCGTCATCAATGACTACAGAGGACTTGGGAACTTACCAGTGCCCCAGACCCAATGCATCACGATAGGATGGATGAAGAGAGTAAAGATAAGAGCAAACATGATATAGGCAGCGATCTTCGTGCGCTCAGCTAAACCGTACGTTGCTGTCAATCTGCAGGGCACAATTCAACGGAAGTGCAGGAGCAGGAGCAGGAGCAGGAGCAGGAGCAGGAGCAGGAGCAGGAGCAGGAGCAGGAGCAGGAGCAGGAGCAGGAGCAGGAGCAGGAGCAGGAGCAGGAGCAGGAGCAGGAGCAGGAGCAGGAGCAGGAGCAGGAGCAGGAGCAGGAGCAGGGCTCACGTTGCTGTTGCTGTATACACCCAGAAGAAGAACCAGTTCTCCCATCCATCTGAGCCTCGGATGTTGCAGGGGCTGGCCCAGACCTTCTCCTGCACGCGGCGTGAGGCTGAAGATGAGAAGCATGAGAGCTTCGCCATCCATCTTACGGGAGTGAGTCGAAGAAGGTCCAGGCACCCTGTGCCTGCGCCATTATGCACCTTGTGCCGTGTCAGCGAGGAACGCGCCATGCGCTCAAACCTTGGCCGCTCCGATGGTGCTCCTCTTGTCATCTCCGATGAACCCAGTCCTGTCCTTGCCGAAGGCAAAGCTGTACCCGACGAACCAGAACGAGATGGTTGCGATGGCGATGCTGAGCTCAGACACTCAGCGGTACGAGGAGCCCCCGCAAATCGCATCTCACTCACCACAACAAATTCTTAAATATGCTCGTGATGACGTTCTTCGGCGCAACTTTTCCCACCTTGACGTCTCAAAGGTGAGCGTGTTGAGAGGCTGGAGGGTCGTTCCGCACCTCAACGAACACCAGCCCAGAGACAACACAGAACCCGATCGATCCCGTCACAATGATCCAGGCAACATCGATGTCCCGGGCATTCTCTATCGTCTGAAGCAGCCAGTAAGACGAGGTTCTGCTTCCCATGGATGCTCACCTTCTGTCTGATGCTGAAGAATAGCGCGTCTACTTGACGAGAGATCTCGTTCTGGATAAGGATGTCCATACTTGCGAATTAACCCTCCTCACGTGCCCCCTTCCCTCCCTCTCCAGCTCGACAGCAAAGTTTCTTCTCGCTTCCTCACGTCTAGTGCCTCCTCAGTCCTAGCTCGCGTCTCCTCTCCCACTCATTCTCTGTAGCGCCGCTCCATCGCAATCGCGCTTGTCAAGAATCGTAATGGGAGGGGGTTCAAGTGTCCATAAATGGGTGGGGTACAAAACGAGGAGGGGGGTGGGGGTGGATGGGGTGGGGTACTCGGCCAACTGTCATTCAAGCCATTTCGGTGGGTGGATCAAGAAGGTGGGGTTGTATTGAGGGGGTGGGGGGTGTCATGAGCCGGGGTCCGATCGGAATGGTGAAATCTCGGGGTAGGGGTGATTGTACTACCCCTTTATCCCCACAGAATGTGTCCAAATTGGTACGGGTAGTCTCCCAACGAGTCATGTACCCGTACCCACTAAAATTAGCTACCCCACCTACCCTTCAGGACCGTTACACATGGTGGCATCCGATCCGTCCAGTCCCCTACCACCCCCACCCCCTCAACTCCCATCTTGTGATGTCTTCCAGTCGGGGAAATCGGGAGCGATATACTACCCCACCTTTTCACTGCAAGATCAAGAAGAAAGTACCGGTCCTTGTCGGATCGAGATCTGTTCGCAGCCCAGGTCGGACTGACGGGCTCCCGGGCCTTTCTGCGGCTCCCGGGCCCGCCGCCGATATTCAGCCCGGGCCCGATCACTGAGATCACTAACACTGAAATTTACTAGTCAACTTAACTTTGAGTAAAGTCAGTACCTTATGTCGTTGACGGTTATGAGCCTCGTCCTCTTTGTCTTGAAAGGATGCCTGGGTGAACCAGGGGTAGGGTGGAACGAAAGATGTCTTTCGTTCTTTTGGAGGTGGGTGGGGTACTGTCCGAGGAATCACTGATTTACCTGCCAATATCAATGCAGGGGGTACTCGCAGGGGATTATGTGGGTGGTAAGGATCCCGTTTTTCAAATTATCCGAGATGGAGTTTCAGGGGTGGGGTGGTAGGAAAAGGCCCTGATCATCCGTGGGTGGGGATGGGTACCGTGCTCTGGTCTGAAGCCCTGACAACTCCGATGGCAGACGGTATGAAGGAGGACGGGAGAAGAGAGGATATGAAGCAAGACATCGGGGATGGATGGAGACGATGAAACAGGGAGAGTGAGGGGGGGGAGCGGGAAGAAGAGCGACAGGAAGGAGAGGTTTTGTACGCGAGAAGTGATGAGTTTGAAGACGCGTGGAGAGGTTCTGAGCAATTTTGATACCACTTCGAAGGCTGACATGTCCCATGTTGTTGGATCGATTGTGCAGGGGGGAAGGTTATTTCCTCATCGTCGATCATCGACCTGCTGGCTATTGACATCGTTAACAACAAAATAGAATGGACAACGAGTCGAGGTCGGCCCCATGTTCGTCCTTTCCTCCCCTGAGGCTCCGTTGCACGCAGGAGCTTCCATCTTCTGCATGAACATCGGGCTGGTGCTTATCGAAGCCAGCAGCCTCAAGTCGAGCCGCTACGAGCGGGTTGCTCTGAGAACCATCACCTCGATCTCCCTCGCTGCGCTGAGCTGCTGGATCCTCGGCTTCGGCTTTGGCTTCGGGATCGACCGGGGAGGCTTCATAGGGTCGAGCAAGTTTGCTCTGGATGGGTTGGGAGGCGATCCATCTCAAGGAACTTCTGACGAGTGGGAGCGTTGGTTCCTGTTCTTCTCCGTGAGCTCAATTTGCGGCAACATCTCAACCCTGGGGTTGTCGGAAAGGGGCAAGATAGAGGCAATCTCGACTTACATGACTGTCCTTGTTAGCGTCGTGTATCCCATCATCGTCCACTGGTGCTGGGGAACAGGCTGGCTCTCTGCCTGGGGAGCGTACCCGGACGCGGACGGGTCAGCTCGTCCGATCTTTCACCGTTCAAGCGACTCGAACGGCCTGCTGGACGTAGGAGGAGCAGGAGTTGTCTACTTGGTGGGAGGATGCGCATGCATGGTAGCGACGATCTTCCTTGGAGGAAGTGACTTGCGGTTCGTGGACAGGACGATGCTTTACCAGGAGGACCCGGTCAAGTCCATCGCCCACCTGCTGGGCGTTCTGACCTTCTGGTTTGGGAGCTTCTCATTCAACAGCGGCTTCCAACCCCATGACAGCCCTTCCTTCCTCCTCAATGCCGCCGCCAAGGGGATGGTGACTACGGCAATCGCAGGAGGAGCAGGATGCCTGACTTCGATCGCCACCTGCTCTCTCCTCAAGCAAGGAAATGTCGCGTATCGAGGCTTAAACGGCACCATGGTCGCGCTGGTCGCCATCTCGTCCTGCGCCATCATCGTGGACCCCTGGATGTCGCTCATTGTTGGGACCTCCTCCTCCCTCCTCGCTCTCGTCACTCACCTCCTCATCAACAGGCTCAGCTTGTGTGACCCCTGTGACGTTATCGCCACATTTGCGGTGGGAGGAGGCTGGGGCCTGCTCTGTGCCGGCATCTTCTGCACGGACGCGGACGTGCAGGCAGCTCAGTTCCCCAACAAGAACCGAGCGTGCGCAAGTGGGGAGCAGTTCGGAGTGCAGCTTGTAGGTCTGCTGGTCATCTTGACGTGGACCAGCGCGCTGTCGTGGGGGTGTTGCTTCCTGGTCGACTGGATGGTTGGTATGCACGACGAGGAGCAGCTGCAGCAGCTCGTTCGCTTCTTCGAGGACCACCGCCACAGCATGACCACCGCGCACATCTCGTCTGAGGTGGACGTGTCTTCGGAGATCCGAAAGTTCCTGCAGACGAGGGGCTCGATGGTCAAACAAGGAGCTGGGGAGAAGCAGGAGACTGACAATGGGCTCCGACTCAGCAGCGACCTCGTATACGCCAAGTTCGTGGGTAATGACTTGAGCAGGCCGACCAGCGTGCAGTTCGATCGCCAGGGGAGTGCGCAGAAGTCTGAAACGGGGGAGGGCGCAAGGGCGGTGGACGCAAGGGCGGTGGACGCTGAGTTGCAACGAGGGGGTGAAGAAGGAGGGGAGGTGTCAAAAGGCCCAGCTCCTCTTCCTCCCCTTCCCGTTGTGTCCCAAGAGAGCAGAAAGTCGCTCCTCGACGAGATCATTCAGCGAACAAACTCGAGCTCCTTCGAGTCTTACAACGGGCCGGTACGAACCATTCCCCCGTCTCTCGTTTCTCGTTCGAACCCTTTCCCCCTCCTCTTCTTCGCCTCGTGCTCTGACCCTGAGACGTTGACTCCGTCTAGATACACAACGCACGGTTCTTCCAGAGCCCCGACAGCAAGGCCGTGAGCGTGGAGCACAGCTACATGACCGGTGAGGAAGCCGGCGAGAGGACGCAGCAGAGAGAACAAGCGGAGTCGGAGGAGCGGGAGGAGATGGCAGAGTGACAGCTGGCAGGTCCCACCTTCAACATGTCTAACGAACTTGAGGCCTTGGAGCAAGGGACGGAGTGGAGAATGAGTGAGAAGAGGATACGAGCAGGGAAGGGGTTTGGTGGGGGGGGCGGGGGGAGCAGGCTGGCAGGGAACCAAGAGGAAGGAGCGAGGGAGGTTTGAGGAGAAGAGACATTGCCGGGTGGGATAGAGGAGAATCATTGACTGCAGCCGCAGACAATCCCTTCACACCGACGACAAGCGCAGGTGAGGTAAACCATCAGCATGGAACAGAGCAGAGCACCATGGAGGGAAGGTGAAGTTTCCAGTAGTGCGTTTGCCTGATCTCACTCCTTCCTCTCCAACAGACCTGACAAACAGCCTGAGCTAGTGAGACAGGAGCCCTCGGATCCTTCTGCTGCTCCCTCTCCGCCTCCTGCCTCTGCTCTGCGTCGCCGATCGAGCCCAGTATCTCCTCCACAAGAAGGCGAAGCAGCTCCGCTCCTTTCTGTGCCCCCGACTCCAGTCACGGGCAACCCACCTCCTTCTGCTCCTCCTCCTCCTCCTCTCGGGGCTCAAGGCTCCCCCTCTTTGAAGAAAGCCGATGACTGGAAGCTATCAGCCACAAGGAAGACAGGAGAGCCGCCGGGACAGCAAGAGGCTCCTCCTCCATCGGGCTGGTTTGCTCCATCCAAATCTCCGATCACCAATAGGATCCCCTCCTCCTCCTCCTCCTCCTCGGCACAGTACATCATCCAACTCGGCGAACATTTCTACTGACCTTCTCTTTCCCCCCGTTCCCCCCGGCCTCTCCATGTCATATTATGATGTTACATTAAATTCAGTTGCAATTGGAACAAGTCTGGATAAATCTCGCTCTCCTTCGCTATCTTGGACCTCAACTCCGTTCCTCTCCCCCCATCGTCTGCAACCCTCTCCCCTCCCTTCACCCGTTCGTGTTCGTTCTGCCCTCCGCCGCGTTGCTTCCTCCTGCTCCTTCCACCCGTGCTCCCTCTCCTCCTGGGGGAACGACGGAGTCCAGAGTTGCCATGAGCTCTGGTGTTAGGAGCGAGCAAGCGAGCTTGCTGGTCTTGAGCGGGAGGAGGGAGGAGGCCGGAAGGCCCATCAGCGACAAGGGACGAGCGTAGAGACTCTTCCTCTTCCCCTTTCCACTTGACCCCGACAGCTCGTCGTTGCTCTTCCGTTTCTTGTCTTCTCGTGCCGGCATGCCGTTCTTGTCCAACCCCTTGGAGCTCTGGGAGGAAGCGTGAGGGGAAGAAAAGAGAAGAGCAGCAGCGTAGAAAGGAGAGGCAACTGCAGGACAGCACCACAGGAGGGCCAAGGGCTCGATGAGACACATTGCAAGAGCCAGGGGAAACTTTGATGGGGGGGGGGGGAAGCCGGAGAATTGATGGCAAAGGAGGAGAAAGCAGCTGGGGCGGACAGTTGGCAGCAGGACCTGCACGTAGGCATTCAAGACAGCACGCTGAGCCTCCTTGGATCGATGCCGAACGCCTGAGGAAGAAGGAGGCTGAGAGGAGGAACAGCAGGAGGAGGGAGGAGGTACAGAAGAACATCTTGCCCAACGAAGGATCTCCGAAGTCCCACTCCGTCTCCAGGCAGCACTTCCAGTGCATCACGACCTGCCGCCCTGCTCAACCACTCGCCCCCTCCTTCGCAGCTTGTCAAACCTTGCATGAGTCCACGTAGCACCCAATGGTCGCGCCATTCTGCCCGCATCTCGTGCACCGCAAGCGCCTGGCGCCATGGTGAGTCTCCAGGGAGGAGGGAGGGAACGGGAGGAGAGGCACCTTCCCCTGCGGACAGCCTTGGAAATGTTGAACCATCTCCCTCCTGCCTTGCCAATTTCCGGCGTGTACAAGGCGCAACTGAGGAGACACGTGAGACAGGCGAGCGGCTTGCCGTGTGCGCACGTACTTTTCATGTACAAAGATGAATCTGTTGCTTCCTCCTCCTGCTTTGAATGGCCCCAACTGAGAGAAAACGATCAGACGTCCGCAGAGGAGGCGACTGCAAGCTACCAGCCCTCCCTCTATGCCGCCCGTCTCGCGCGCTCCTGCGTCTGCTTCAACTTGGGTCAAACATGAAAATATTCGCTCACCGCACAGCGCACAGCTGCTCTGCTCAGGCAGCCACTCCGCCTGATTTCCAGCATGTCAGACTTCACTTTCACCCATTTGACAACCCCAACCTCGTACGCTATCATATCGTAAGATCGATCTTGATCCTGACAATATCATCTCAGCGGAAACTCAACACACCTGCTTCCCTCCCTCACCTCTCCGTGACCGTGCCAAGAAACAAGCAGCTCACGCGCAACCCGCCTGCCGCTGATGAAGGCACCATGGACGGTGGAGGGATGCTCGGAGTTGGTGTGCTCCCCAGCGAAGAAGAGTCTGTTATGGTCTAGCGGACGAGCTAGCGCGTCCATGTCCTCAGGAGTGCACCCGATGGCTACGTAGGAGTAGGAGCCCATGGCGAAAGGGTCTTGACCCCATCGAGTGATCTTGTACCCGCACGGTTGCTCGCACGCTCCCTCCCCGACAACTTTCTCGAGCACCTTCATGGCCTCCCTCACCACCTCATCATCAGGCGTGACCTCGAGCTCCTTCGCCATGCTCCCTGAGATCAGCGCAAGCAGCGTCGGCTTGGAGGCGCAGTCTGTGATGTCGATGAAGAGGTAGAACTGCCCCTTCCGCTCCGACGCATACCCGATGTACTTGCCGATGGGGGTCGCGCGCTGCCAGAAGATCTTGCTGAACGCTAGGACCACCTTGTTGAGCACGCCGAACCCCAGCTTGTCGATAGCTGCTTGCTTCCACCGAGGCAGCTGCGGGTAGAAGGCGATGCTCTTGCTCTTCAAGACCCCAAGCGGGACAGTAAGAACAACAATGTCCGACGAGAGAGTCCGACCGTCCTCAAGGGTCACCTTGCAAGCAGCTTGCTGCCCTTCCTTGCCATGCTCTATCACCTTCACCTTGGAATTCAGCCTGATGTCCAAACCTTGTGCGAGGTGTTCTGCCAGCGCGCAGTATCCTGACTTGAGGAGACAATGGTCGCCATCGAACGCATTCTCGTCATCCAGGGCCCAGTTCCTGGCTGACAGGTTGTGAATGTCAGTTGCCGTTGAGTACTCGATATTCGCACAATGCCAGTTGAACAGCTGCAGCTCTCTTGCGTCATCAAGACTGTCATCGCTCGCAATCATTCTGTCCAAGAGGCCACCGAGAGACTGGTCACTCTTCTGAGAGCCCGTTCCAACCTCCTTCTGAGCCCTCTGGAGGAACTGGTTGAACAGGAGCTCTATCTTCCTGTCAGTCTCCTCGCTGTACACAACACCATCTGCATCATGGATCAAGGTGTCTGCAGGTATGTTGCACAGCTCCACGCCCTTCCGCCGTGCCAGCTCAGCAAGAGGATTACCCACAATCCCATGAATCCATCCCGCCCCGAGGTCAACGGTCCTGCCATCCAGGCTCTTGTCCGTCCAACATCTCCCTCCGATCCTGTCTCTCCCTTCCAGCACAACTACCTTACACCCCAAGGCATGCAGTTCATCTGCTGCTGACAACCCTGCGAACCCTGCGCCGATCACGATGACCGATGGCTGCGTCTTCCTGTTGGCAGGCTCAGGAGCTACCGGTCGGATCTCGCGCACCAGCCCAGCGAACTGTCTCCCTCCTATGAAAGATTTCAACCGCAGAGATCCGTCGCTGTTGATCGAAACAATCTCTCCCTTGACCACAGAGCCTTGCTTCAAGCTGCTGCTGCCCCCGCTTCGCACGCTGGACCCATTCCATTTCGGCAGTTCCGCATCGGATTTCACAGTTCTTGAGCTGGGTTGCCTTGCTGATTGTCTCGATGGCGAGTATTGTCTGGCTCTCACATCTGAATGACCCCCGTTGGCTTCATGCAACCCATGTGCTGTACTCCTTGCAACTCCGTTGGTGTGCTCTGGGGGTGAAGCCAGCAATCCTGGTTGTCTGCCTGCAATGTTTGACGTACTCGGCAAGATCTTACCAGACTGGCAAATGCAGCGATGATGTCATTAGATGAAGTGATGGAGGAAATGTTTACCTCCATGTCCATGCAGCTCAAACCTCTATCTCCGTAACCAGCCTCATACCCTGTTCGATGCTATCCGAAGAGATAGTCTTCCACACAGCAAGGTCAGAGAGTCGCCAACGTAGAAGCCAAAGGTGAATTGTTGCGAATGATCAAACGTTTACAGAATTAACACTCAAGACATGATGCAAGGTCTACCAAGACGTTCAAGGTGTGGAACATGTGGGGTTCCAAGCTGAAGCCAGGAGGATGTGACAGTGGATAGGCGGGAAACAAGAGAGGCGTGGTGCGGGAGAGGAGGGTAATGCAGATGTGAGGGAGGAGATGTGAGGGAGGAGATGTGAGGGAGGAGATGTGAGGGAGGAGATCAGTGGAGGAGATCAGGAGGATCAGGAGGAGCATGAAAGCTCCGGGCTCATAGTGCGACTCACCGGTTGCTCCCGCCATGGGCTGACAATTGTGAGGAAAGGTGGGGTCGGGGTGGTCAAAATGATGTCTGCACTAGTACCGGTACTACCAATCACCCAATATCTGCCCTTGTAAAACTCTTCAAATAGGGGTACTTTGAGGGTCAATGCTTTTTGAAGGGGTACCTTTCGATTGATGGGGTATAGCTTCAAGGGTACTTTACCCACCCCAACCCATGAAAATGAAGTAAATTTGGTGGTGGAGGTACAAAATAACCCCACCCCCTACAATGGCACTACAAAGACCAGGTAGTCCACCATTCAATCTAGCTAGGACCGGGGCCTATCCTCATAGCCTTTCCTAGGACCATTCCAGCGCAACTTCTCGGGCAGGCTCGCCTCAGAGCTCGGAGTCCTCGTGCCACCGGGGAACCAGAAGCCCCTGAAGCCTTTGAAGCGACTCCCGCCGATGATGATGCCGCGGCCGCCATGCTCGTCGGACCGTCCAGCCTCCTGGCATGCTGAGTCGGACGCCGCTAAGCCTGTCACAGTGATGAGGATGAGGACCGGATCATCAGCAAGTTGGTTAGGCTCTCTGTCTTTTCTCTTCTCTCCGCATAGCCTGTGCGAGACGCGGCTAGTTAAGCTCACCTTTTGCTGTCAAGCTTTCATCACCGGCGGTAAAGCCTCAAACTTGAACTGTCACCGCGAGCCTCCCGGGACTCACTGAGCGAGTCTGTCGGTGTCCGAGGCTAGGCCGCTGTTGCGAATCGGTCGGAGCCTCCGAGGAGTCGGGAGGGGGCCCTCGGAAGGAGCGTGTGACACGGCAATGTCCGACTCAGCGGACGCACGGGAACTTCTGGGCGGAGTCTCAGTTGAGCATCAGACGGTGCCGCAGAGGCTCTGTCCAGGCAGTGACGCGGGCCGGGTCGGAGTTCCACCGTGTCATACGACGGCGGCGGGGGTGAAGGCGGTTGCCAAGTTGCGGCCGGACGCTCAGAGGCTCCTAGCCAGGGGCAGGGCCGCCTCAACTTGACCAGTGACACAGTTCATCATGGCAGCCTTTAGTATCGGCAAGCCGTGCCCCCTTATCAGTGTCTACTGTATGTCACGGTCATATTCCGATCATGGCGGATCATCGGATATCACATGATGATGAGAACCGCGTGATCGGATGGCACTGCCACGATTCAAGTACTACTGAGTAGACTAGGCTCACAGAAATTGAATACTCACAGAAATTGAAAATTGACTCTCGCGTGTGAGTCCGACAGTGATCAGAACTCAATCCGACATCAGTACAGCTTCAACGCTAGTAGTACGGTACCAGGGCAGTGGGGTGAGGCTCTTCAAGTGCCGTGCAGTGCGTCCAATGATCACGGCAATCATCGGACAGCTTGTCACTGTGAGTTTATGTTGGATCCGGCGCAGTTTAGTAGTTTCATCACGGTCAAAACTGATCGGATCATCTCACTGCCTTGAGATCTGACTCACTGAATTCACTCAGCAGTGACGGTACATTGAGTAGAGTCCTGTGTGACGGTAACTCAGTTCCAAGCGCGCGGCCACTGAGCCGCGGCGAGCGAGGTGAGATGCCGCTAACAGTCACTGCAGTGACCGGGGGTCATCACTCATCGTTAGACAGGCAAGAGTCACTCACTATGATCATCATCACAGTGGGCCTGATTGCCAGCTCGAACGGTGAAGGCCCGGCGCCGCCGCCATTGATGATGCTGGGCGGCCACTGAGAATGCCACACAGTGACAGCTAACTCAGTCCGGACTGGCTGTCCAGGCTACGATAACTGAAGGCAGGAAAGTGAGCCTCGGAGTCACAGTCCCGGAGGTCAGTCAGCCCAGAGTGCCGCCGTTCCTCAGGCTCGCCGGCCGAGGCTACAAGCGGACCGGGAGAGGCCTCTTGAAGGGCCTCGGGACTTTCAGGATCCTCCGAGGGCCCGGCAGCATCGGGAGGTCACTGGCTGGTTGTGCTCACCGAGGAGCCTGCCAACTCCGGGGCCTGTTGGGACAGCAAGTTGACTTCCTCTCTCCTCCGGTAACCGACTCGCGACCTCAAGTCGCTCCTGAGCCCCTAAAACAAGTCTGCAGCCGCTGAGCTTGACTCAAGTAAGCCAGCAGGCACCGGAGGCTTCATGAGCATCTGAGAGTCAGAGGGGGACGAGTAAGATCATCCGATCCTTGAAGGAGCGAAGTAAGATCATCCGATCCTTGAAGGGGGCAGAGGAGCAAGGATGTGGGAGGACGAAAGCGTTGAGCTAGGAGGACGTACAGGGAGGGGCGCAGCAGATATATTTCATTCTCCTCTCCTTAGTCCGACCATTCATCGTTGTCACTCGACGCAGCCTTGTTCTTTGCCTATTGCATGGCGAAGGAGAGGGAATTTCAGGGAGACGAGGGCAGCGGAGCGGTAGCGGAGAGAGGAGAGGAGGGGAGAGAAAGAGGAGAGGAGAGGAGTCGAGAGGAGAGGAGAGGAGAGGGAGAGGAGGAGAGGAGAGGAGAGGAGAGGAGAGGAGAGGAGAGGAGAGGAGAGGAGAGGAACAGGAACATCGGTTAAAGGGCGGGAAGAAGCAGGTCAGTCAGCAGGGTGCAGAGAAGGACACGGAAGAGTCTCACAGCGGCTGACTCGAGCCCACGGATGTTGCCAATACTGACAGGAGCAGAATCTGAAGTGAAAAACGTCAGCACTAGAAGGATGGACTAGAGGGGAAGGGGGGGGGGGACCTTCAGCCTTGGGCTTCGATTTCTTCTCCTTCTCCTTCCCTCCTCCAATCCCTGTGCGCCTGCAGAAGGAGATGAAAGAAGTGAGTAGGAAAATGTCGAGGAGGGGAGGGGGGGGGAGGCGATGAGGCACGCAAAGCAGGAGAGAGAGGAGAGGAGGAGGAGGCATAGAAAGGAAAGGTTCAATGTAACGGAGTCACACCTTCTGTCCAATCGGGCCTTGAGATCAGCCATGAGATCGACTTGCCCCCCTGCCTTGCTTGGCGGCTTCTTCTTCTCCTGCCAGCCAACCTCAGCGGCGGCACAAGGACTGCGAGTCTTCTGCCTCATCAGCCTCGCCCTTAGCAGCTCCCTGAGTGTCGCTGGAGCTTTCTTGCTGCTGCTTCTTCTTCTTCCTGTAGCATCCAGCACATGAGGGGAAGATAGCGAGCATGTCTGACAGTCTCGCAATCTCTACACTCACTTCAATTTGGACATGTCTCCAGCAAACTTGCGGATGTCCGCCAGCAGAGCTGTCGAGGGACTTTTTCAAAACCAGTCCTCCTCCTCCTCCTCCTCCTCTTCCTCCTCCTCCTCCTCCTCCTCCTCCTCCTCCTCCTCCTTCCTCCCTCTCCCCCCCAACCCCACTCCCTCCCCTCCACCAGCCACCAGCTGCACCGCAACCACTAGCCCGGACTCTCCCCTCCCTCCTCTTGTCTCCCAATGACCTGATCGTCCTGTCGATTCTCCTCCTCCACTTGCAGCAGGAGCCTCTTGAGTAGCCGAAACAAGATCGCTAGGAGGAGCTGGTGGTGGTGGTGGCGGCGCGGAAACAGCTGCCGGAGGAGGGGGAGGGGGAGGAGGCATGGGTGCTCCGGGTGCAGCAGTGACTTGCTGGAAGAGTTCGGCAGGAGGGGGAGGAGGAGGAGGGGGAGGGGATGAGATCGAGGAGTGCGAGGGAGCGGCGAGACTGCTCTTGCCAGGCTGACTCGCCGCGTTCTGCACAATGGGAACCTGCAGGAGGAGGTCAGGAGGGAAGGGGAGGAGGGCGATGATGACGACCGTCGGCAGCTGCGGCAGAGCAGCGCGGATGGCGGAGGGAGCAATAGAATCTGTCTGCCATTCACAGATCTCATCCGCCAGGTTGGGGAGGCCTGAAGGTAACGGAGGTCAGGAGGCTGACAGCAAGTCCAGGAAGGAGACCAGGAAGGACGTTGGGGAGGTTCATGTTGGGAACCATCCCGAGCTCAGGGTTGAAGCCGAAGTCAACCGTGCCGAAGGAAGGAAGCTCGATGCCCTGACATGTATTTGTCACTGATTGACCTCCTGCAATGAAGAGCTACTGACATGTTTCACAGACGCTGGTGCCTCTGCAAGTGGCCTCTTGCTGGGCTTGGCACTTGGCTCTCTGTCGTCCTCGTCCTCTGGCCCTGTCGAGGAGGAGTAGGGAGCAGGAACGGGTCAACTCGAGGGGCAGACACGCTTGAGAACTTGGAGTCAACATACCCGCGAGGTTGTCAAGGATCATGTAGCCCCGGTAAGGATTTTCTGAGATGAAGGACGTCAGACCGCGAGCCTCTAACCCGCGAGGGAGGAGAAGAACCTGATGAGTTGAAGAGAAGCATGGCGTTCACCGAGTTCATGCCTTCCGGGATGCCCCCGAGCCCCTACAAGCAGAACCCTCAGCTCAACGCCGCAGACAGCGAGTAGGACCTCTGCGAGCTGCACTCGGCTATGACTCGGCTCGCTCGATGCCAGTTCCAACACTTTGAAGGGAGCCTTGCCAAGGCGTTCACGTCAGGCCCTATCACGTTCTCCACCATAAAGTTCTCCACCATAAAGTCGCATCCTTCCCCAGCACGAGCCGGCCGTGATGTCAAGACTCGTGGAGGAGCTTCGGAGCGAAGGTCGTGTTTCTTGCGGTTGAACAGACATCTGTCCACTCCCCGTCCCTCCACCTGCCTTATGAATCATCGCTCCTCCACCACCTCCACCACCTCCACCACCATCTCCTCCTCCTCCTCCTCCTCCTCCTCGTTCTCCTCCTCCTCCTCCTCCTCCTCCTCCTCCTCCTCTTCCTCCTCCTCCTCCTCCTCCTCCTCCTCCTCCTCCTCCATATCATCATCATCATCATCATCATCATCATCATCATCATCATCATCATCATCATCATCATGCTCCGTCCCGAGTCTCTTCTTCTCCTCTTCCTCCCTCTCTCTTTCTTCTGCTGTTCAGGATACGCGTCCCTGGCAGACTACATCGCTGCAGGGCATGGCAAAGTTGGGGCAGGAGATGGAATAGAAGGATCAGCTGCTGACATGGCACACAGACGCTTCGAGCATACGCGGAGAGAGTGATAGTAGAGCTTGCGCAGGGAGTTGAAGCAGAAATGGAACGGAGGAGGTAAGAGACCTCTTCCTCTCCTCCATTTCCCCATCTCCTTCAACTCCCTTCCTCACCCTCCCAT